GGTTGGGCTCAACCAGAACCAGACAGTATCTGTCTGTTATCAGCAGGTTGGGCTCAACCAGAACCAGACAGTATCTGTCTGTCTTATCAGTAGGTTGGGCTCAACCAGAACCAGACAGTATCTGTCTGTTATCAGTAGGTTGGGCTCAACCAGAACCAGACAGTATCTGTCTGTTATCAGCAGGTTGGGCTCAAGTCAAGGTGGAGCTATTGCCATATATAATTGCCTACCCAATCTTTTTAGATCTATATAAGTCTCCAAGGGATCTGGGCAAGGGGTTGATTTGGAATTGTGATTTTTTTTAATTCTCTGCTCTGCCTCCACTGTCTGAATGAGACCCTTCCTCTCTGTCTCCTCTTCCTCCTCCAGGAGTCTCTGTCTCCTCTTCCTCCTCCAGGAGTCTCTCTTCTTCCTCCTCCAGGAGTCTCTACCTGGCTCTCCTCTTCCTCCTCCAGAGTCTCTGCCTGGCTTCCCTCTCCTCTTTCTCCTCCAGGAGTCTCTGCCTGGCTCTCCTCTTCCTCCTCCAGGAGTCTCTACCTGGCTCTCCTCTTCCTCCTCCAGGAGTCTCTGCCTGGCTTCCCTCTCCTCTTTCTCCTCCAGAGTCTCTGCCTGGCTTCCTCTCCTCTTTTTCTCCAGAGTCTCTGCCTGCTTCCCTTCCTCTTTGTCCTCCAGAGTCTCTGCTGTTCCCTCTCCTCTTCCTCCTCCAGAGTCTCTGCCTGCTCCCTCTCCTCTTCCTCCTCCAGGAGTCTCTGCTGGCTTCCCTCTTCTCCCCAGAGTCTCTCCTGGCTTCCTCTCCCTTCCTCCTCCAGGAGTCTCTGCCTGGCTCTCCTCTCCTCTTCCTCCTCCAGGAGTCTCTGCCTGGCTTCCCTCTCCTCTTCCTCCTCCAGGAGTCTCTACCTGGCCTGGCTCTCCTCTTCCTCCTCCAGGAGTCTCTGCCTGGCTCTCCTCTTTCTCCTCCAGGAGTCTCTACCTGGCTCTCCTCTTCCTCCTCCAGGAGTCTCTACCTGGCTCTCCTCTTCCTCCTCCAGGAGTCTCTACCTGGCTTCCCTCTCCTCTTTCTCCTCCAGGAGTCTCTACCTGGCTCTCCTCTTCCTCCTCCAGGAGTCTCTACCTGGCTTCCCTCTCCTCTTCCTCCTCCAGGAGTCTCTGCCTGGCTTCCCTCTCCTCTTTTTCCTCCAGGAGTCTCTGCCTGGCTTCCCTCTCCTCTTCCTCCTCCAGGAGTCTCTGCCTGGCTTCCCTCTCCTCTTCCTCCTCCAGGAGTCTCTACCTGGCCTGGCTCTCCTCTTCCTCCTCCAGGAGTCTCTACGTGGCCTGGCTCTCCTCTTCCTCCTCCAGGAGTCTCTGCCTGGCTCTCCTCTTTCTCCTCCAGGAGTCTCTACCTGGCTCTCCTCTTCCTCCTCCAGGAGTCTCTACCTGGCTTCCCTCTCCTCCTTCTCCTCCAGGAGTCTCTACCTGGCTCTCCTCTTCCTCCTCCAGGAGTCTCTCTTCTTCCTCCTCCAGGAGTCTCTGCCTGGCTTCCCTCTCCTCTTCCTCCTCCAGGAGTCTCTCCTCTTCCTCCTCCAGGAGTCTCTGCCTGGCTCTCCTCTCCTCTGAGAGTGGGACCATCATATCCTTTTATCCTTATTCTTATCAAACTTATGGACTGGTGGATGAAAAGGAGATGCTGTTATCTCCACATTTCCTCTGGAATGTCGTCCTCTGCTCTCTAACTGTGTTCTTCTTTCCAACTCTCTCTCCACTCCATCTTCTTTACTTATTCTACTCATCTTAGTTTTGTGAGGAATCTTTTATAGGATTCCTGCATTACCACTCTGGCCACATTCCTATGTCTTGTGGAGAAACAGGCAATTCATCAAATATTGAATGCAAGTGAATCAGGCTGCACTTGTTGGTTGTTCAAACAAATGAGAATCTCTCTATTGGACATAAAGTATTGAAATGTCGAGACCTGCTTGAGCTTTCAACTCATTGTATTTCTGCCCTTTTTATCCTGTTTGTTTGGTTCTCTCTCCATAACAACTATTTTTCAACATATCAGCCTTATTTCCTGCTAGTTTTTCAATCATTCACTAAACCCTAAACATCAACTAAATCTCGTAATGAATAATGTGGAAATGGAGCAAGTTGAGGAGACTATACTGCTTGGTGTAACTCTGGATTGTCACCTGTCATTGGTCAAAACATATTGATACAACAGTAGCTAGGCAGAATTTAGCACCATCTACTACGTAGAGCTGGAAACAGACCAGTCAAGATGATTTGCTAAGAAGCTTCTGCCTTTTCTATAGAGCAAGAGAATTCTGTTTTGGTCTTCTTTATGTAGGCCCTAGGATGTAGGGTGATATATATATTTTTAAAGAGCCCACTCACTTTCTCACAACAGTTTACTGTAAACCAGCCATTCACAAAAATTGTCTAGGCACAAAGATGGACTCAAAAGATGGCCATTGGATTTACATAATAAAACGTTTAGAGAGACTCTTCCATGTACTACACCTCTTTCATTCAGGGCCCCAGATCAAGCAACTGGAATTTCATTTAATCTCTTGAATGGAAATGTGATCGATGCCAACCCAGACAATGAGTAGCACAGAGAGTGTTTCCTGACCATATGATCTGTCCAAGAAAAACTCCTGGCCCTATTTATGAGTGATAATCTCCTATGTTGCCCCATAGGCCAGTGTAAAGTAATTTATTATTATTATTATTACTATTTTTAGGTAATAACCTCTATCTCTGTATCCTCACAGGGCTACCCAGGAGACAAAGGCTTCAGAGGACCCCCGCGCCAAATATACCACAATTACACTGTAGCAGGTGAGAGGACACCTCAGTCATACCTGGTCCAAACTTAAGAACATGCGAAAAAGTGTAAACTTTTTCTCCGTCTCAAAACGGCCATTTAAAATCGTTGACGTAGTTGCGCGTGATAAAATGCTACATGTTCGTTGTTCCCATTAGATAACCTGTCACGTTTAGCCCTATGCTAACCTGACCAGCTGGCAGTGACTATGTCCGGTAACAAATTCTGCATCAGCCAATTACAAATGTTGACGTATCGTTGTTGGACGTGATCGAACACTTTTCCACGAGAGCGGCACCATCTGCTAGTCAAAGTTACTAAAACACGCAACATTTCAACTGGACGAATAGCTCAGTGTAGCGAACCTGGCTCCTAATAGTTTTCGCCGTTTTGCGGCATGTTCGAATCCCAGGTGAGATATGTTATTTTTCCCCTTTGAAATGTAAAATTACATTTATTGTGTTGAGAAGATAAGAGAAGTGCAGCCAAAACCTTGTAAATGAAGATTACGAACACATTTAATGAGGAGCGTCTTGTTGGAGACCTTCTTGCAGACAGACACACAGGTTACTGCACATAAATAATCGTTGCTACAATACAGGCTATACTACATACTAGATGTCTAGGCTACACTTACATGTACAACGTTTTATATGCATTATTAGAATCATTCACTTCGTCACATATGCGTTATTTGAATCAAGCATCGAGGACTATCAGTGAACAGTAAAAAAAGAAAAAGGAAAAAAAGAAGCTTGACGCGATGGAGCCTCGATCCCACTGTTGCTGCACCCCGCAGATACACCGTTCACCGGACAGCGACGGTAATAGGGATACCCCGCAGATACACCGTTCACCTGACAGCGACGGTAATAGGGATACCCCGCAGATACACCGTTCACCGGACAGCGACGGTAATAGGGATACCCCGCAGATACAACGTTCACCGGACAGCGACGGTAATAGGGATACCCCGCAGATACACCGTTCACCGGACAGCGACGGTAATAGGGATACCCCGCAGATACAACACCGTTCACCGGACAGCGACGGTAATAGGGATACCCCGCAGATACACCGTTCACCGGACAGCGACGGTAATAGGGATACCCTGCAGATACACCGTTCACCGGACAGCGACGGTAATAGGGATACCCCGCAGATACACCGTTCACCGGACAGCGACGGTAATAGGGATACCCCGCAGATACACCGTTCACCGGACAGCGACGGTAATAGGGATACCCCGCAGATACACCGTTCACCGGACAGCGACGGTAATAGGGATACCCCGCAGATACACCGTTCACCGGACAGCGACGGTAATAGGGATACCCCGCAGATACACCGTTCACCGGACAGCGACGGTAATAGGGATACCCCGCAGATACACCGTTCACCGGACAGCGACGGTAATAGGGATACCCCGCAGATACACCGTTCACCGGACAGCGACGGTAACAGGGATACATGACAGCTATTGATCATGAGGCGCTTCTACTTTTTTTTTCTTTACGATAAACTTTAAATGTTGAATTTTTCCGTAAAAGCACATGGATGTGTGTGAAACGGATAAGCAAAAAGACACGCGCTTTTGTCATATGCGAAAACATGCATGCATTATTGTGACACTGCACTTTACAGACCAAGTAAACCTTGAATTTGGAGGCTTCAAATATCCCTCTGGTGGCCAAATGTAGCTATTTTAAGAAATGCCATTGGTTGGTGGATATACAGTCTAAGATCTTTGATAGGCTGATGCGGAATTTGTTACAGGAAATAATCACTGCCACCTGGTCAGTTTTTAACATAGGGCTAAATGTGGCAGGTTATGTAATGGGAACAACTAACGTAGCATTTTATCACGTGCAACTACATCAACGATTTAAATTGGCTAATGCACATTTTGAGACGGAGAAAACGTTTTTTCTAATGTTCTCAAGTATGGACCCATAGGGTTTATTTATGTTGCTGGTATTTTATTTATTTAACCTTTGTTTATCCAGAGAAACCTGATCCAAGACAATGTGAGATTATGATTAGGAAATACCTGATGCGAAGAAAGCATAACAGGGCATGAGATCTGAGTCTGAATCATGGTAAAATAAGAAACAGACTCTGTATCCACTGTATTGCAGGTTACCCTGGTGATCCCGGACCCCCAGGTCCAAGGGGGGCACGAGGAGACATTGGAGAGATGGGCATGCATGGACCCCCGGGACCACCAGGGGTATTCATCTCCCCAGGTCAACATTTCACTGTCTTTATGATATATCATCTATCCTCTCCCCTATTTACCCAATGTTCTATCTTTTCTGGTCCTGTGTCCCAATTGTCCTACCTTCCACCACTTCCTTATACCAGCCTCTTCCTTTTAAATCCATGAAGGGAAGTAAACACGAGCCATTTTGGGCCCCAGGGTCAGTCTTCTGTCCCCTGTCTTCCTATCCGTTTACTCCCTGTCCTACTATAGTAGACCATGTTCATATTGTACACAATAAGAGCACAGCTTCGCCTTTCTGATTTTTGCATATTTTTTATACTGAATGTTATAAGATCTTCAAACAAAACCTAATATTAGATAAAGGGAACCTGAGTTTACAAATAACCCCCAAAAATGGATACTTATTTTATTTCAAATCAAATTTTATTTGCCACATGCGCCGAATACAACAGGTGTAGACATTACCGTGAAATGCTTACTTACAGCCCTTAACCAACAATGCATGTATTTCTTAATAAAAAGTTAAATAAAACAACAACAACAAAAAAGTGTTGAGAAAAAAAAAGAGCAGCAGTAAAATAAAATAACAGTAGGGAGGCTATATACAGGGGGGGTATATATTTATTTAATTGCAGCTCACGGTGGCACAACCAGTCACTGAGTGTAAGGGGCCAATTACTTTTTCACACAGGGGCATTGGGTGTTGCATAACTTTGTTTATGAAATAAATATGTAATTGTTGTGTTATTTGTTCACTCAGGATCCCTTTATCTACTATTAGGTTTTAGTTGAAGATAAAATATGCAAAAGTAGAGAAAAGTATAAAGGGGGCAAATTATTTTGATGGCACTGTATTACTACCTGTAAGCTCAGCTAGCATGCACCACTCACCCCTCACCCCTCACCCCTCACCCCTGACCCCTGACCCCTCATCTATCCTTTTCATTGTCCAGGTCTAGATTACCCAGATCTCCCTGGTCCTAAGGGCTTTAAGGGGGAGCCAGGCAGCTACTACACTCTACAACTAATAGCAGGACTACCAGGGGAAAGAGGGCGTCCCGGAGCCAAGGGATTCAGAGGCCCCCCAGGCCGTCCAGGTATGGACCACACAATACCAGACTGTATGGAGTCCACAAGCTCTCTCCAGCCACTGTCCATGATTTTAGAATTTTATTAGGATCCTCATTTAGCTGTTGCAAAAGCAGCAGCTACTCTTCCTGGGGTCCACACAAAACATGAAACATGACATAACACAGAACATTAATAGACAAGGACAGAACTACATACATTTTGAAGATCTGATATGCCCTTTTCATACACGTGTTTATTCCCTTTAGTCATTGAAGTGGTACACATTTGAACTTAAAAATGATGCACGTTCTAGCGTAAATACAAGGTGTGCTGTTAACTGTTACTGAAATGGTGTACCTTTTCCCTTCAATTGTGTGCACCCCCTTGTGGCCTAACATCATCGTTACGCGTCAACATGGTGTATATTTACTGGAATTCTCTTAGGATTTGGAGGTAAGCTTGGTATCATTGTATATTGATTGTTAAACTGTCAACCTATTTCAAATACTGCTTAGGCTTGCGTCTCAAATGGCATCCTATTCATCCATCTAGTGCACTACTTTTGAGCGGGGCCCAGAGGGCAGTGCGCTATGTAGGTAATAGAGATGCAGACTAGATGTTGGACTGACATGTGCAAAGTTTCAGGTTGTTAGTCCGTTTTCTAATGGCAACGTCACTGATATAACGAACTGATGATCAGCGGAGTTATGTTATGTTATGTTTTAATGAGATTTTCTTTTTTTTGTGGTGGGGGGTGTTGCCAATCATGTCCTGTAGGTATTTCTTGTGTTCCTGGTGAGCCGGGTGTGCGAGGAGACGGCGGCGATACCGGATATCCTGGATTAGAAGGATACAAAGGAGAAAAAGGTGAGTGACCCGTTGGTTGTTTCTTCGGTGTGTTTGTGTGATTACACTAACCATGTCTGCGTCTGTCCTTCAGGCTACAACGGTGAGTGTGAGTGTGTGCACGAGAATGGTCACAGTGGGATCCCAGGTCCTCCGGGCCCCCATGGACCCCCGGGGTACGACGGGCTGCCGGGGCACAGCGGAGAGAAAGGAGACCATGGATATAATGGGGACCCTGGCCCACAAGGATCACACGTAAGGCTAGCCCATATTGTAGAACTTCTAAACCCTTTATAAACCTTAGTGCAAAGTGTAATGGCGAATCCCTATGAGACGCCACTGGAACAGGTTGAGAGTAGTTCATGACGTGTCCACAGAATCGGCTTTCCAAACGTGGATATTTATTTGGGTGATGTTCCTATTTATTGCATATAAAATGATACATAGTTCCAGTACATAATATAAACGGTGCAGAGGAGTAATCTATGAGCATGTTCCTGTGGGATGGTAAGAACTGTATGCTGTCTCCTCTCACCTGTGCTACCTAAATGCCTGTGACCAGTGACCCATGACCCCAAGTGAGAGTGCCCCTAGTGTACAAAAAAACAAGATTTAAACATCCCTAGACAGACGACTTATACACAACACGTTAAAAGACACATAATCACGCCAAAGTGTAACCCAGATGTCTCGTACACAAAGTGTAACCCAGATGTCTCGTACACAAAGTGTAACCCAGATGTCTCGTACACAAAGTCTAACCCAGATGTCTCGTACACAAAGTCTAACCCAGATGTCTCGTACACAAAGTCTAACCCAGATGTCTCGTACACAAAGTCTAACCCAGATGTCTCGTACACAAAGTCTAACCCAGATGTCTCGTACACAAAGTTAACCCAGATGTCTCGTACACAAAGTCTAACCCAGATGTCTCGTACACAAAGTGTAACCCAGATGTCTCGTACACAAAGTCTAACCCAGATGTCTCGTACACAAAGTGTAACCCAGATGTCTCGTACACAAAGTGTAACCCAGATGTCTCGTACACATGCTGTGTTGGTGGTGGTTTTGCATTGTATGGTTGAGTTGAATATTCATGAACTTTAAAGCTGTAATCTGTAACTTTCAAACCCAGGCAAAAATGCTCCCCCTGCACTTGTTTGTAAACTGAGCGTGTGGTTCTTGGTGAATGGAACCATTTGGGAAGATAAAATAAACAATTGCACCTTTTAGGTTGTCTGGACTGTAGGGAAACCCAGGCAGGTTACAGTGATATTGTCTGGACATGCTTTCCCCTGTAGGGAAACCCATGCAGGTTACAGTGATGTTGTCTGGACATGCTTTCCCCTGTAGGGAAACCCAGGCAGGTCTGGTTACAGTCATATTGTCTGGACATGCTTTCCCCTGTAGGGAAACCCAGGCAGGTTACAGTGATGTTGTCTGGACATGCTTTCCCCTGTAGGGAAACCCAGGCAGGTTACAGTGATGTTGTCTGGACATGCTTTCCCCTGTAGGGAAACCCAGGCAGGTTATAGTGATGTTGTCTGGACATGTTTTCCCCTGTAGGGAAACCCAGGCAGGTTACAGTGATGTTGTCTGGACATGCTTTCCCCTGTAGGGAAACCCAGGCAGGTTACAGTGATGTTGTCTGGACATGCTTTCCCCTGTAGGGAAACCCAGGCAGGTTACAGTGATGTTGTCTGGACATGCTTTCCCCTGTAGGGAAACCCAGGCAGGTTACAGTGATGTTGTCTGGACATGCTTTCCCCTGTAGGGAAACCCAGGCAGGTTACAGTGATGTTGTCTGGACATGCTTTCCCCTGTAGGGAAACCCAGGCAGGTTACAGTGATGTTGTCTGGACATGCTTTCCCCTGTAGGGAAACCCAGGCAGGCCTGGTTACAGTCATATTGTCTGGACATGCTTTCCCCTGTAGGGAAACCCAGGCAGGCCTGGTTACAGTGGAGCGAAGGGACAGAAGGGCGTGACCTACTATAACGGTGAGTGGAAGATGTGGTCCAGATTAGACTGGGTAACGTAAGAAAATCTCTTACGCCTCGATCAGACCGACAGCATCATTGCGTTTTGATACACCAGAAGTACATTAATTTCCAATGGAACGTTCTGGGTGGTGCATACATTGGATTTATCCAAGTATGCATCAAACTGTATGTGTAGACTTGACAGAATGGTAGCAGAAGGTGAATGTTGAACCTTACTTACACACATAGCCAGTAAACATGTTGGATTACATAATGATGGAAGTCTGACTGCAGAATTTATTAAGCAGCATTAATGCAATGACGCTGTCGGTCTGATCGAGTCGTTACGAGTCACTACAGACAATATATGCTACTCAGCAGACACTTTTATCCAAAGTGATTTACAGGACAGTGAGTGCATACATGTTATTCAGTATGTGTATGTGATCCCTGTGGGAATTGAACCCACAACCTTGTACCATACTTACCAACTGAGCCATAGAGGAAAACATATGTCAGTGCTGTCTATTGAACCCATGCTGGTTTGAAATGGCGTTGTCAAATTACATTAAATGTAAAATGCACTTTAAAGGACCTATCAACCCTTCAACCCCCTTCATAACACACTGCCTTAGCATTTTGGGAACATTAAGCACATTTTGGTGTGATACATTGACATTACATAACTTGTTGTTTGGGTCATTTAATTGACAGGTGCGAAGGGTGACCCTGGCTTCAATGGCCCCAACGGGCCCTTGGGGGCCACCGGTCAGCCAGGACCCGATGGCTTCCCTGGCGCTGTGGGAGACCCTGGACCCCCGGTGAGTTAGTGGGTCAGTCTGCCAGAGGAACATTATTCCTCCCAGGGTCATTTTGATTTGAAATGTGGGGGGACATTAGGATAATTTCCTACATTTCTACACTATCACATTGGGCTATAATATTGGCGTAACAGTCAGTTCCCACTGGGCACAGACGTCTATTCCACGTTGGTTCAATGTAATTTCATTGAAATGACTTGGAAACAACGTTGATTCAACCAGTGTGTTCCCAGCGGGTTAGTGCATCTGCAGTCTGTCTGTATTGTCAGTGTATGATTTCTGCTCCGGGCTTCCACTAGGTACAGATCTAGGATCAGCTTGCCCTCCCCAAGTCCCAACCTGAATCATTAGTGGGGAAACACAAAACTGACCTTAGATCAGCCTTTAGGGGCAACTTCGCCCTCTTCATGTGACGCCTTGCCATCCGTCAGGGTGACGGTTACAGTGGATCGGTAGGTGACAAAGGCTACCCAGGGCTCCATGGTCCTGAAGGCCCCCCAGGCAGACCGGGCCCCCCAGGCCCTGGTGCTCCAGGTCGTCATGGCCACCAAGGGCCCCCAGGAGACGCGGGCCTCCCAGGTCCCCCTGGACAAACTGGACAACCTGGACCTCCAGGTAGGACCGATAGAGAGTGAAACGCCTGAATGAAAACCTCCTCAGTGGTAATGGTCTTAGGTTAACATTGTCATTTTAATATTTACTGAAGCAAAAATGCATACTGTCTATCTATCGCATATCTATCTATCGCATATCTCTATGCGTTTAATCATGCCAAATCAAGTGTCACTTTCTTTGCATCACCAGGCGATGTTCTGCCCTGTGTCCCTTCCAACCCTGGCCTACCTGGCTTCAAGGGTCTACCTGGGCCCCCAGGTAAGCAACTACATACTGACACTGTTAAAGATTGTGTGTGTGTGTGTTTTTAGGCTGACTTCACATGCTTTGGGAGTCTGAAATATGAGTAATAGGTGATAGATTGATTGACAGGTGATAGATTGATTGCCACTGACTGATCAACCTGTTCTGATTGGCCCTCCCCAGGGAATCCCGGGCCATCAGGACCACCTGGTTTTCCAGGTACCGCAGGTTCCCTTGGACCTAAAGGCATGAGAGGAGATGACGGGACAGATGGAGGAATTGGACCCCCGGGTAATGACAGTTTGGAAGGGATCATCACACAAGTGTTAATCATTTGTACATAAAACTGCCAAATATATGAATTATTGTTTATGATGAACTCCTGAGTGGCGCAGTGGTCTAAGGCACTGCATCGCAGTGCTAACTGTGCCACTAGAGATCCTGGTTCGTATCCAGGCTCTGTCGCAGCCGGCCGCGACCGGGAGACTCATGGGCGGCGCACAATTGGCCCAGCGTCGTCCAGGGTAGGGGAGGGAATGGCCGGCAGGGATGTAGCTCAGTTGATAGAGCATGGCGTTTCAACGCCAAGGTTGTGGGTTCGATTCCCACGGGGGGGCCAGTATAAAAAAAAAAATTGTATTCACTAACTGTAAGTCGCTCTGGATAAGAGCGTCTGCTAAATGACTAAAATGTAAATGTAAATGTAATGAACTAAGCAATGTTATTCATTCCAAATTAATGACATAATTGCGTTCTGGGTTTATTTTGTAAATGAGCTTTTATGTCATTAATAGACATAGTTTAGTTGGATGGGTGGTTGGTGTGTTTGTTGGTCAGTGGGTTAATTTGTTAGGCAGACAAGTGATAGGGCTCAAGTAAAATCAAACCAGCATTGCATTCTTTCTTTATGAAACGGATTGGACCTGGCTAGGTTTGCCATATGTCCAGTAGAGGGCAGTGCTACTCCTACCTCAGCAGTGCTACTCCAGCAAAAACTCCTACCTCAGCAGTGCTACTCCAGCAAAAACTCCTACCTCAGCAGTGCTACTCCAGCAAAAACTCCTACCTCAGCAGTGCTACTCCAGCAAAAACTCCTACCTCAGCAGTGCTACTCCAGCAAAAACTCCTACCTCAGCAGTGCTACTCCAGCGGATACAGAAAAGAGAAACAAAACTTGATCGTGGTCATTCCTGGGGCCTGTAATATTAAAATGGAATATCTGAATGGACTGGTTGGAGAGTTAGTGTGTTAGTGTTCGTAGTTAGTGTTCGTAGTTAGTGTTCGTAGTTAGTGTACGTAGTTAGTATGAGTAGTTAGTATGAGTAGTTAGATGGTTCATGTCTAGATCCCTCTTCCCATACAGGACACCAAGGAGATGTTGGAGATGATGGTGACCCTGGTCGACCTGGACTCTACCTGGATGGACCACCAGGCTCCCGTGGACCATCAGGCCCTCCAGGCTGGCCGGGACCTCCGGGAGATGCCCTCAACACCCGACCTGGTCCCATGGGTCTACCTGGACTACCTGGGTTACTGGGACCTAAGGGAGATCCTGGCTTGCCAGGCATTCCTGGGCCTCCAGGTGCATCTAAGTCACTGTTAATACACACACACACATACAATATTTCACTGTCGTGCCATCTAAACTCAGCAAAAAACGAAATGTCCCTTTTTCAGGACCCTGTCTTTCAAAGATAATTTGTAAAAATCCAAATAACTTCACAGATCTTCATTGTAAAGGGTTTAAACACTGTTTCCCATGCTTGTTCAATGAACCATAAACAATTAATGAACATGCACCTGTGGAACGGTCGTTAAGACACTAACAGCTTACAGACGGTAGGCAATTAAGGTCACAGTTATGAAAACGTAGGACACTAAAGAGGCCTTTCTACTGTCTCTGAAAAAGACCAAAACTTAAGATGGGTCCCTGCTCATCTGTGTGAATGCCTTAGGCATGCTGCAAGGAGGCATGAGGACTGCAGATGTGACCAGGGCAATAAATTGCCGTACTGTGAGACGCCTAAGACAGCGCTACAGGGAGACAGGACGGACAGCTGATCGTCCTCGCAGTGGCAGACCACGTGTAACAACACCTGCACAGGCTCGGTACATCCGAATATCACACCTGCGGTACAGGTACAGGATGCCAACAACAACTGCCCGAGGAGGAAGGAATGAGCGTTACACCGAGGCCTGTAATCTGGAGCGGGATCGATTTGTAGGTGGAGGGTCCATCATGGTCTGGGGCAGTGTGTCACAGCATCATCGGACTGAGCTTGTTGTCATTGCAGGCAATCTCAATGCTGTGCGTTACAGGGAAGACATCCTCCTCCCTCATGTGGTACCCTTCCTGCAGGCTCATCCTGACATGACCCTCCAGCATGATAATGCTACCAGCCATACTGCTCGTTCTGTGCATGATTTCCTGCAAGACAGGAATGTCAGTGTTCTGCCATGGCCAGCGAAGAGCCCGGATCTCAATCCCATTGAGCACGTCTGGGACCTGTTGGATCGGAGGGTGACGGCTAGGGCCATTCCCCGCAGAAATGTACGGGAACTTGCAGATGCCTAGGTGGAAGAGTGGGGTAACATCTCACAGCAAGAACTGGCAAATCTGGTGCAGTCCATGAGGAGGACATGCACTGTTGTTCTTAATGCAGCTGGTGGCCACACCAGATACTAACTGTTACTTTTGATTTTTACCCCCCCTTTGTTCAGGGACACATTATTCAATTTCTGTCTGTGGAACTTGTTCAGTTTATGTCTCAGTTGTTTAATCTTGTTATGTTCATACAAATATGAACACATGTTAAGTTTTCTGAAAAATAAACGCAGTTGACAGTGAAAGGACGTTTCTTTTTTTGCTGAGTTTAGTAGTCAACACAGGGAATCATAGAGCAGTGGAGATTGGCAGAACATTACATTCGCCAACCAGATACTGTTGCTCTATATGTACATTGAATGCTTTACAATCTTTCATTGTTCTTGGTGACTCTTAAGCTCGTGCTCATTGCAGCTCTAACCATATGGTGATTTCATAACAGGGGGACCAGGCCCGTACGGAGATGTGGGTTACAAAGGACCACAAGGAGACACTGGGGACCCAGGACCAAGCGGTCCCCCAGGTCCGTCCGCAATAGAATGTAGACAGAAAGGAGAAAGTGGCCCACCGGGAGCCTCAGGACCACCAGGAGTCAGGGGCCTATCGGGTGAGGATCTAAAATGACCACCACATGGTACAGTACTTTTCATGTTTTCATGAGTGTTGATCTGTTTGACGCACAGCTAAAATCAGGGCCCATATTTGGAATTGTTTACGTTGTGGAACTATCCCCAGAGCATGTAATCTTTCCATGGTCATTTTAGCGGTCACACTTTTTAAAGGAACTATAATTTATAAAATATTAATATGGCATCGATAAAGTATTCATAAGCTCTACATAAATATAAAATACTCACTGCACAGAGCTTCCCACTGTACAGTATGCTCTGAACAGTCCTCCACCTCAGTACAGTATGCTCTGAACAGTCCTCCACCTCAGTACAGTATGCTCTGAACAGTCCTCCACCTCAGTACAGTATGCTCTGAACAGTCCTCCATCTCAGTACAGTATGCTCTGAACAGTCCTCCACCTCAGTACAGTATGCTCTGAACAGTCCTCCACCTCAGTACAGTATGCTCTGAACAGTCCTCCATCTCAGTACAGTATGCTCTGAACAGTCCTCCACCTCAGTACAGTATGCTCTGAACAGTCCTCCACCTCAGTACAGTATGCTCTGAACAGTCCTCCACCTCAGTACAGTATGCTCTGAACAGTCCTCCACCTCAGTACAGTATGCTCTGAACAGTCCTCCACCTCAGTACAGTATGCTCTGAACAGTCCTCCACCTCAGTACAGTATGCTCTGAACAGTCCTCCATCTCAGTACAGTATGCTCTGAACAGTCCTCCACCTCACGTACTACTTTCAGTAATTTACTGGTGTGTGTCGTTAGGTTTCCATGGTGATAAAGGACATAAGGGTGCGATGGGTCCTCCTGGACGTGGAGTGAAGGGACCAGCAGGGAACCCCGGGCCTCTAGGCCCCCCAGGCCCCCTTGGTGCCAAGGGTTTAAGTGGGTCACCAGGTGACCCGGGCTTCCCTGGTTTACCAGGGACCAAAGGTGAGCCATGTCTTATTATTATTATTATTATTATTGTTATTAATATTGTCATTATTATTATCATGATGATGATGGCTATTATTATCATGATGATGATGGCTATTATTATTATCGAGATGATGGTGGTGTGGTTATTATTATGATTGTTATTAATATTATCATTATTATTATCATGATGGTGGTTTATTATTATTGTGGTGATGGTGATTATTATTATTTTGGTTATTATTATTATCAGCATTATTATTATTTGTATTATTATCATGATGGTGGATATTATTATTATCATTATTGTTATTATCATTATGGTGGATATTATTATCATGATGATGGTTATTATTATCATGACGATGATGTTGTTGTTATTATCGTTATTATTATGATGATTTTTTACATTTTTACATTTTTTGTCATCATGATGATGGTTATTATTATTATGATGATGGTTATTAATATTATTATTATAATTATCATGATGTTGGTGGTTATTATTATCATCTGAACATATCACAGCAACAGGCAATGTCAAATAATATGCTTAGCTAGTTACTTTAACTATTGTATTCCGTATTTTATAAAACAGAAGCTATTTTTTGTTGCCAGCTTGTCTCAGCAAACAAATCCACCCGGTTGACTGAAATAGTGTTATGACATTTACATGATTCTCTGTTCGCACAACGATTGCATTTGAATTGGGATGAAGGTATATCAATATGGATGCCATGTTTTGGATATCGCCTGCCTCAACATAGACCTCCTGCAAGATTCTTTTAAAGGGAACTGCACAACCCTGGTATCCCATTTTGAGTACAAAATATACCAGGACCGTGTTCATTAGGCACCAGTAAGAAACACACCATTGTTTTCCGTAGCAAAACGTTTTAAAACATTTTCAGTTGGTGCCCTAATGAACATGACCCAGCCAATGGCCATGACTATCTTTATGATTATCCTATGACAACTATTCCCAATGATGTCATCTTTCCCAGGGCCCAGCGGATATCCTGGTAGAGACGGATTGGCTGTTCCTGGTCGGCCTGGAAACCCAGGACCCCGCGGTAGGCAAGGGGAGAGGGGTTTTACAGGAGGTGATGGTCGGCATGGAGACCTGGGTTACAAAGGAGCCAAAGGTACACAGTTAATATACCGTACATTACTGTTTATGCACTTTGCAGCATCCACAGAATGAAATAGAACACATTACACAGTATTTTGTATCTCTATGGCATCTGCACACAGACAGTCAACCTTCCTTAGAAAAATTTGCAAATACTTTCCTTATGTGGACTGTGTCATTTCAGTGAATTTAGAATACTATTCTCTCTGTGTATACTTCCTTGTTTAAAGTGTCCTATCTCTCTTCATGACTATACTATGTGCATGATTTTCTGTCTGTGCATACTTACCATAACATGACTATTTCAGTGTGCTATCCCTCATCGTGGACTGTGCTGTTTCTGCATAGAAAGACATATCATCCTTTTGTTGTTACCTTCACTATATTATATATGTTGTATTTATATGTACACATAGTGTAGTATATTATATATTGACAGTGTAGAGTGTCCCCAGGTCATAGAGGTCCCCCCGGAGAGCCTGGTCAAGCAGGACCAAAAACCATTAAAGGACAGAAGGGCTCTCGAGGACCACCAGGAGAGGGTGGCTTCATTGGAGCCAGAGGTGAGAGAGACAGAACCAACCCCCTCTGCACACTCTTAGAAATAAAAAAAAAGGTGCTACCTAGAACCTGAAAGGTTTCTTCAGCTGTCCCTGTAGGAGAACCATTTGAAGAACCCTTTTTGGTTCCAGGTAGAACCCGTTTTGGTTCCAGGTAGAACCCTTTCTTACACAGAGGGTTCTACATGGAACCCAAAATAGTTGTACTTGGAACCAAAAAGGGTTCTCCTATTGCGACAGACGATTAACCTTTTTGGAACCCTTTTTTCTAAGAGCAGTGTTGGCACCATGGTTTTATGCAACACATCGAAAATATGTTAAAACAGAGAAGTGCTGCTTTGGTAATAGATGTCGGACAATGAGGTTTTCTTTGAACATTTAGAAAAATACTTCAAACTAAAATAAGTGGATGTAGGTGGTAGTAGGTGGTACTGTATTTTAAGGCCTATAGTAAAGGAAGTACAAACCTTTATTGATTCTCTGGTAATACAGGGATAGACAATGTTCTTTCTTCTCAGGTTCCAAGGGCCCAATTGGGCCACCAGGTAAACCAGGGGGGAATGGATGGGATGGTCCCCCTGGTTATGAGAAAGGGCTCCCAGGACAACCTGGCAGACCTGGTCCCCCCGGACTCCCTGGACCCCGAGGACCTAAAGGCTTGAGAGGTGTAGTGGGTTTCCCTGGACCAGTCGGTGATAAGGTACTTCATTACTGATACTCATCACTACAGCTTGGATGTTCTTTGTTTACCTGATTGACCTACTAAAACTTTGGTAAAAATTGCTATTATGAATGGTTTCCAGACAAATTAATGCTACTCAAGATTGATGAATTAGGTCCAGTATGTCTGTATGTATTTAAGTTGAGAGTATATTCCTTCCCAAGTAAGTGGTCTTAGAAGTAATGTGAGATCAGATGTCTTTGTTAAGACACAGGATGTTTATGTGTGAGTATCTTGATGTGTGGGTGTTACTGTGTGTTGCTATGCCAGTGACTGTTGCTTTGTCCCCCTTGCAGGGGGACCCTGGGTACACTGGACCTCCTGGGATCCCAGGCCTTCCAGGATTGACAGGCTTAAAGGGTGAGTAGAGAGACAACAGGAAATACACACAAACATGATAAGGATAAGGGGAGCTTAAAGGGACAGGGGGAGAGGAAGGGGAGGTCTTAAAGGGACGGGGGAGAGGAAGGGGAGGTCTTAAAGGGACAGGGGGAGAGGAAGGGGAGGTCATGAAGGGACAGGGGGAGAAGAAGGGGAGGTCTTAAAGGGACAGGGGGAGAGGAAGGGGAGGTCATGAAGGGACGGGGAGAAGAAGGGGAGGTCTTAAAGGGACAGGGGGAGAGGAAGGGGAGGTCTTAAAGGGACAGGGGGAGAGGAAGGGCAGGTCATAAAGGGACAGGGGGAGAGGATTCCAAAACATGGGTTATTATCAGAGTGAAAGTGCTGTAATTACCGACCGATATCTCCTCTGTATTCTGCCGTCATGAGCAACTGAAACTCCAACCCTGACCCTATTCTGCAGGTGACCCAGGAGACTCCATAGGAGAACCAGGAACACCTGGACCACCGGGACCTCCGGGAGAAAGCGGACCCTTAGGTGATCACAATACAACGTCTACTTCCAAAATACCGCCCTATTCCCTATACAGAGCACTACACTCCTATTGGCTAGAGCCTGAGTATCTGGGGCACTACTTTTGGACACATTTCGAACTGAGCGAACAATCACAAACAACGCCATTAGGGCGGATTACAGCTTTGAGATGATGGCAACAGGATACAGGATGTTTAGGGTTCCCTGACCCAGATCAAGCCTACCAGACAGAAAGTAAATAAATACTCACTTCCAATGGGGATTCTGGCCCGTACACTTTAGAGGTCACATCAGTGCACAGTACATTCTTAGAAAAAATTGTGTTATCTAGAACCTAAAAGGGTTCTTCGACTGTCCCCATAGGAGAACCCTTTGAAGAACCCTTTTTGGTTCCAGGTAGAGCCCTTTTGGGTTCCATGTAGAACCCTTTCCATGTAGAACCAAAAAGTGTTCTCCCTAGAACCAAAAAGGGTTCTCCTATGGGGACAGCCGAAGAACCCTTTTGGAACCCTTTATTCTAAGAGTGCAGCATGACAGACCTGTGTACCGTGTGCATCATGACCATATCTCTCCTGTCTATTCATTTGTGTAGAGGTTCTCCCATAACTGATCCTGGTACTGCTCTTGTCCAGAGTGTGATGCTGGGTCATTAGATTAGATTAGGAGTAGACTTCAGGTCACATATGATATTGACTGAATATGCTATGGCTAGCTTGTCATACTTTGCCTGCAAACAGCAGTTACCTGCAAAATGGCTCATGCTCAGGTGAGCTCCTCAATGGGTGCGCCGATCGGGTTGATCAGGCCCCATCTGAGCCAGGTGGATCACCTACTGCTCCCCTCTCTTCAGCCACAGCCATTACCATGCCCCCCCCCCCCTGCCTAGCTATGCAACATATCTTCTAATGCTGTGCTCCCTTTACTCAGAGAATCCTTAGTGGCCTGGGGAAACTTATGCCCCAACTTCTACAGGTAGACACTTGGCCTTCCATCCCTTGTCAGTGCATTCATCCACGAGTGTCTGGCACATCAACCGCTTCCTTGATGCTCTCCTCCCATGGAGTCACTAGCATGAGCATTTACATGTTCTTGGTGCTCCCCCATGGAGTCACTAGCATGAGCATTTACATGCTCCTTGACCAGATTGGCAGGTCTGGTCTGAGTGTTGTGTTGACAATCTCCTTGGGGAAGATGAGGTGCCTTCCCAGGTCAGCTCTTAACTCTTTCCAATCCGCTGCTGTTTTTCCCAGTCTGCTGCTGTTCCCAGTCAGTCTCCCGCCTCCAGTTATTACTGTATATGTGTTCACTTCAAAATGTGAAGTTTGTGTTTGGGGAGTGATTCACACTCCTAGAAGGTATGTGCAGGTGTGATTGGTCCTAGGGTTGCAAAATACCGGTAACTTTTCCAGAAATCCTGGTTGGAGGATTCCGGATTTCCTTATTTTCTTCCTGATTCTGGGAACCTCCCAACCAGAATTTGTGGGAAAGTGACTATAAATGTTTGGTCCTCTTCACTCTATAGCTTCAAAGGGGGACCCAGGAGAGCCAGGGGACCAAGGACCCAGAGGACCACCAGGACCACTTGGAGACCCTGGTGTCAGAGGAGCCCAAGGCCCACTGGGAGGCCCAGGTAATGGACCACTAAAGTCCCCTTCTGTATGTCACTCATTTAATATTTTCTCCTTAGGACAGGGTACAAGACATTTCATATTTTCTCCTTAGGACAGGGTACAAGACATTTCATGAATGTATATACGGTGAGGGAAATAAGTATTTGATCCTCTGCTGATTTTGTACGTTTGCCCACTGACAAAGAAATGATCAGTCTATAATTTTAATGGTAGGTTTATTTGAACAGTGAGAGACAGAATAACAACAAAAACATCCAGAAAAACGCATGTCAAAAATGTTATGAATTGATTTTCATTTTAATAAGGGAAATAAGTATTTGAGACCCCTCTGCAAAACATGACTTAGTACTTGGTGGCAAAACCCTTGTTGGCAATCACAGAGTTCAGACGTTTCTTGTAGTTGGCCACCAGGTTTGCACACATCTCAGGAGGGATTTTGTCCCACTCCTCTTTGCAGATCTTCTCCAAGTCATTAAGGTTTCGAGGCTGACGTTTGGCAACTCGAACCTTCAGCTCCCTCCACAGATTTTCTATGGGATTAAGGTCTGGAGACTGGCTAGGCCACTCCAGGACCTTAATGTGCTTCTTCTTGAGCCACTCCTTTGTTGCCTTGGCCGTGTGTTTTGAGTCATTGTCATGTTGGAATACCCATCCACGACCCATTTTCAATGCCCTGGCTGAGAGAAGGATTTGACGGTACATGGCCCCGTCCATCGTCCCTTTGATGTGGTGGAGTTGTCCTGTCCTCTTAGCAGAAAAACACCCCCAAAGCATAATGTTTCCACCTCCATGTTTGACGGTGGGGATGGTGTTCTTGGGGTCACAGGCAGCATTCCTCCTCCTCCAAACACGGCGAGTTGAGTTGATGCCAAAGAGCTTCATTTTGGTCTCATCTGACCACAAAACTTTCACCCAGTTCTCCTCTGAATCATTCAGATGTTCATTGGCAAACTTCATACGGGCCTGTATATGTGCTTTCTTGAGCAGAGGGACCTTGAGGGCGCTGCAGGATTTCAGTTAATCACGGCGTAGTGTGTTACCAATTGTTTTCTTGGTGACTATGGTCCCAGCTGCCTTGAGATCATTGACAAGATCCTCCCATGTAGTTCTGGGCTGATTCCTCACCGTTCTCATGATCATTGCAACTCCACGAGGTGAGATCTTGCATGGAGCCCCAGGCCGAGGGAGATTGAAAGTTATTTTGTGTCTCTTCCATTTGCGAATAATCAAACCAACTTTTGTCACCTTCTCACCAAGCTGCTTGGCGATGGTCTTGTAGCCCATTCCAGCCTTGTGTAGGTCTACAATCTTGTCCCTGACATCCTTGGAGAGCTCTTTGGTCTTGGCCATGGTGGAGAGTTTGGAATCTGATTGATTGATTGCTTCTGTGGACAGGTGTCTTTTATACAGGTAACAAGCTGAGATTAGGAGTACTCCCTTTAAGAGTGTGCTCCTAATCTCAGCTCGTTACCTGTATAAAAGACACCTGGGAGCCAGAAATCTTTCTGATTGAGAGGGGGTCAAATACTTATTTCCCTCATTAAAATGCAAATCAATTTATAACATTTTTGACATACGTTTTTCTGGATGTTTTTGTTGTTATTCTGTCTCTCACTGTTCAAATAAACCTACCATTAAAATTATAGACTGATCATTTCTTTGTCAGTGGGCAAACGTACAAAATCAGCAGGGGATCAAATACTGTTTTCCCTCACTGTATGCTTGTTTAGTGTCTACATGTGTAAACATTTAGATGCTAAAGTTTGTGTGTGTTTGTGTGTATGCAGGTTTCCCTGGTCCTTCAGGCCCGCCGGGTCGTCCAGGTTCCCCAGGGCCTCCTGGAGGATTTCTCGGAACTCAAGGCCCCAAGGGCAATCCTGGACCGCCCGGTCCCCCAGGTACTAAGACCCAACCTACGTGGCACATAGTGACAGGCCCTAGCCTTTTAGGGGCCCTAAGATTTGGTTGGGGGGCCCCCTCACCTCGGGCAAAACATTTAAGTTCCCCCCCCCCCCCCCCCCCTCTTGGCGACAGAGAGAAAAATAATGCTATTTCAAAGTTAATTTCCTGCAATTCTACACATTTTGCCATGAATAGAGAAAATTATGCAGTTTTTGCAATTCTACACATTTGGAAAACATTGTTGTAGTTTTAAAGCTAATTTCCTGCAATTCTACATGTTGCCATGATTTATGCCATGTTCATCCAATATCTGGGTGAGAGTGACTTAAACAGTCAATAGGGGCCCCCTGGAGGTCGGGGCCCCGTGCCCGGTCGGTAATTCGGCCATGATTACTACAAGGTTTAGACAGCTGGCCGGACTCATTTACCTAGCAATCAAAAACATTAAGCTGACAATGGTATACATGTACGCTGTACAGTTGACCCGGGCATGGTATTGATGTATATGGGATTGACTTGATGTGAATTTCTCCACAGGGCCCCCGGGACCCCCAGGTCTACATGGTCTGAACGGGCTACAAGGTCAGAAAGGAGAGAAGGGAGCAAGAGGTGAGGGGACATACAATTATCAATAAATAACTCTCAATAAATAATATATATACAGTGGGGGGAAAAAAGTATTTAGTCAGCCACCAATTGTGCAAGTTCTCCCACTTAAAAAGATGAGAGAGGCCTGTAATTTTCATCATAGGTACACGTCAACTATGACAGACAAAATTAGATTTTCTGGAGAAAAAAAATCTCATTTTGTCTGTCATAGTTGACGTGTACCTATGATGAAAATTACAGGCCTCTCTCATCTTTTTAAGTGGGAGAACTTGCACAATTGGTGGCTGACTAAATACTTTTTTCCCCCACTGTAAATATATATTATTTATTAATCCAGGTAAAGTATGTTCTAATAAAAACAGATACCAGTAGTCCCTTATGCATCATCTCACTCTCTCAGGACCAGATGTGTCGGGCCCACCAGGGCCAACTGGGTACCCCGGAGTCAAAGGCCACACAGGACCCCAGGGACCCCCGGGATCTTCTTACCCCGGACCAAAAGGCCTAATGGGCCCTCAAGGCAACCTTGGTACTGTTTGTATCAGTCATGAGTGGAAACGTGCTTTTCAAGAGTTAGTAATTGCATGATTGATTATGCCATGTAAGAGATCACCATGCGTTGGAATGTAGCAAAAAGGTTGGTGTTGATTTTCTTTTAACTTTATGAGCAGTGCATTCGGGAAAGTATTCAGACCCCTTGACTTTTTCCACATTTTGTTACTTTACAGCCTTATTCTAAAATTGATACCCCGTAATGACAAAGCAAAAACTTACACTGTGTGATTTTCTTTTAAGTTTCTATACATTAGATACAGAATGTACTGTGTCATTGCTGTGTAGTTCCCCGGTGGAGTGGGGTACAGATGAGTGTTGCATGGAATTGCTGTTGAGTGGATGGGTTTTTGACATGATGTTAGCTACTGTATGACTCCTGTGGGGTTGATTGAATGTGTAATGTCACCCAGGACTCCCAGGACTCCCTGGTGAGCCCGGTGGTTCAGGTGAAGAGTGCACAGAATGTCACAGAGGACCCAACGGAGACCCAGGATACGAAGGCATTCATGGACCTCCAGGTGTGTGCGTGTGTGAGCCTGTCTGTCTGTCTGTATCTGTCAGTCAGTCAGTGTGTACCAGGTGTCAGATGTCTGTCAGTGTGTACCAGGTGTCAGATGTCTGTCAGTGGGTACCAGGTGTCAGATGTCTGTCAGTGGGTACCAGGTGTCAGATGTCTGTCAGTGGGTACCAGGTGTCAGATGTCTGTCAGTGTGTACCAGGTGTCAGATGTCTGTCAGTGTGTACCAGGTGTCAGATGTCTGTCAGTGTGTACCAGGTGTCAGATGTCTGTCAGTGTGTACCAGGTGTTAGGTGTTTCTGTGTGTTTTTCTTGTCTCAGTATTTGAGTGTTTTCAGGACCACCCGGTGAACCGGGTCCTGCTGGTACTGCAGTACCCTCCCCAGGAGACCAAGGCCCCCAAGGGCCACCAGGGCCCGATGGCCATAAAGGACAGAGAGGCCCCCCAGGACCCCTAGGGCCAACAGACTACTCAGGACCACAAGGACCTAAAGGTAACCACATAACACACAACTCCGAAACAGAAAACGGTGTAAAATATTTCACAATGGAAACAAAAATGTGTTTATTTTTATTGGGCAGGTCGAGGTAGTCCCTCCCTGATTTATTTTATCTGTTTGGTGCCTAATGTTATTTTCTGATAGGTGCCAGAGGCCCTGTGGGTCACATGGGCCCCAACGGACCACAAGGTCGTCCAGGCGCCTACGGCCTTCTGGGGCCCAAAGGTGACAAAGGCAGACCTGGGGACGCAGGTGAGCACTGAGACCAATAGAGATAACTGAGACAATTCTAGCTGTTTAGCCTGTCCTGTTCTTCTGACAATGAGGTTACTTTGTATCCCCCTGCAGGTCCCAAAGGCCACCCCGGTCGGGTTTTGGATGGTACCGTTACCACTCAGGAACCCCAATGTGGGATCCAAGGCCCCTCAGGATCATCAGGTCCGAATGGGCCCACGGGAAATGCTGGGCCCCGTGGGAACCCTGGGCCTCGTGGTAGGTGACCTACAGAAACATGAGGTGTGTGTGTGTGTTACTTTCACACTGACTGACTGGTGGTGTCATTCTCTCTAGGTCCTAAGGGCCCTGCTGGGTCACGAGGGCCCCCAGGGAGAAACGGACCTCCAGGTCCACCTGGACCTTTAGGAGACCCAGGCGATCAAGGACAGCAAGGTTTTGTGGGACTTCAGGGTAAACACAGACACACACACACACACACACACACACACACACACACAGACACAGACACACACAGACACACACAGACACACAGACACACAGACACACAGACACACACACACACACAGACACACACACACACACACACACAGACAGTCATTTAGCAGACGCTCTTATCCAGAGCGACTTACAAATTGGTGCATTCAACTTAGGATAGCCAGTGGGACAACCACTACTGGGGAGGGGGGGTGTAGAAGGATTACTGTTAGACTATTCCAGGTATTCCTTAAAGAGGTAGGGTCTCAAGTGTCTCCTGAAGGTGATCAGTGACTCCGCTGTTCTGGCGTCGTGGGGGAGCTTGTTCCACCATTGGGGTGCCAGAGCAGCGAATAGCTTTGACTGGGCTGAGCGGGAACTGTGCTTCCGTAGAGGTAGGGGGGCTAGCAGGCCAGAGGTGGATGAACGTAGTGCCCTCGTTTGGGTGTAGGGTCTGATCAGAGCCTGAAGATAAGGAGGTGCCGTTCCCCTCACAGCTCCGTAGGCAAGCACCATGGTTTTGTGGTAGATGCAAGCTTCAACTGGAAGCCAGTGGAGTGTGCGGAGGAGCGGGGTGACATGAGAGAACTTGGGAAGGTTGAACACCAGACGGGCTGCAGCGTTCTGGATAAGTTGTAGGGGTTTAATGGCACAGGCAGGGAGCCCAGCCAACCGCGAGTTGCCTGGATTAGGACCTGTGCCACTTTCTGTGTAAGGTAGGGTCGTACTCTGCGAATGTTGTAGAGCATGAACCTGCAGGATCGGGTCACCGCTTTGATGTTATTGGAGAACGCCAAGGTTCTTTGCACTCTGGGAGGAGGACACAATGGAGTTGTCAACCGTGATGGCGAGATCATGGAGCGGGCAGTCCTTCCCCGGGAGGAAGAGCAGCTCTGTCTTGCTGAGGTTCTGCTTGAGGTGGTGATCCGACATCCACACTGATATGTCTGCCAGACATGCAGAGATGCGATTCGCCACCTGGTTATCAGAAGGGGGAAAGGAGAAAATTAATTGTGTGTCGTCTGCGTAGCAATGATCCACACTGATATGTCTGCCAGACATGCAGAGATGCGATTCGCCACCTGGTTATCAGAAGGGGGAAAGGAGAAAATTAATTGTGTGTCGTCTGCGTAGCAATGATAGGAGAGACCATGTGAGGATATGACAGAGCCAAGTGACTTGGTGTATAGAGAGAATAGGAGAGGGCCTAGGACTGAGCCCTGGGGGACACCAGTGGTGAGAGCACGTGGTGCGGAGACAGATTCTCGCCACACCACCTGGTAGGAGCGACCTGTCAGGTAGGATGCAATCCAAGAATGAGCAGCGCCGGAGATGCCCAACTTGGAGAGGGTGGAGAGGAGGATCTGATGGTTCACAGTATCAAAGACAGCGGATAGGTCTAGAAGGACAAGAGCAGAGGAGAGAGAGTTAGCTTTAGCAGTGCGGAGAGCCTCTGTGACACAGAGAAGAGCAGTCTCAGTTGAATGACCAGTCTTGAAACCTGACTGGTTTGGATCAAGAAGGTCATTCTGAGAGAGACAGCAGGAGAGTTGGCTAGAGATGGCACCCTCAAGAGTTTTGGAGAGAAAAGAAAGAAGGGATACTGGTCTGTTGTTGTTGACATCGGAGGGATCGAGGGTAGGTTTTTTGAGGAGGGGTGCAACTCTCGCTCTCTTGAAGACGGAAGGGACATAGCCAGCGGTCAAGGATGAGTTGATGAGCGAGGTGAGGTAAGGGAGAAGGTCTCCGGAAATGGTCTGGAGAAGAGAGGAGGGGATAGGGTCAAGCGGGCAGGTTGTTGGGCGGCTGGCCGTCACAAGTCGCAAGATTTTATCTGGAGAGAGAGGGGAGAAAGAAGTCAAAGCATAGGGTAGGGCAGTGTGAGCAGGACCAGTGGTGTCATTTGACTTAATAAATGAGGATCGGATGTCGTTAACCTTCTTTTCAAAATGGTTGACAAAGTCATCCACAGAGAGGGAGGAGGGAGGAGGAGGAGGAGGAGAAAGTGGAAAAGAGCTTCCTAGGGTTAGAGGCAGAGGCTTGAAATTTAGAGTGGTAGAAAGTGGCTTTAGCAGCAGAAACAGAGGAAGAAAATGGAGAGAGGAGGGAGTGGAAGATGACAGGTCCGCAGGGAGTCTAGTTTTCCTCCATTTCCGCCCGGCTGCCCGGAGCCCTGTTCTGTGAGCTCGCAATGAGTCGTCAAGCCACGGAGCAGGAGGGGAGGACCGAGCCGGCCGGGAGGATAGGGGACATAGAGAGTCAAAAGATGCAGAAAGGGAGGAGAGGAGGGTTGAGGAGGCAGAATCAGGAGATCGGAGGGAGAAGGATTTAGCAGAGGGAAGAAATTAGAGGAGTAGCGATGGAAGAGGAGAGAGTAGCGGGAGAGAGAGAGCGAAGGTTGCGACGGCACATTACCATCTGAGTAGGGGCAGAGTGAGTAGTGTTGGATGAGAGCGAGAGAGAAAAGGATACAAAGTAGTGGTCGGAGACTTGGAGGGGAGTTGCAGTGAGATTAGTAGAAGAACAGCATCTAGTAAAGATGAGGTCAAGCGTATTGCCTGCCTTGTGAGTAGGGAGGGGGGGGTGAGAGGGTGAGGTCAAAAGAGGTGAGAGGGTGAGGTCAAAAGAGGAAAGGAGTGGAAAGAAGGAGGCAGAGAGAAATGAGTCAAAGGCAGACGTAGGGAGGTTAAAGTCACCCAGAACTGTGAGGGGTGAGCCATCCTCAGGAAAGGAACTTATCAAGGCGTCAAGCTCATTGATGAACTCTCCAAGGGAACCTGGAGGGCGATAAATGACAAGGATGTTAAGCTTGAATGGGCTAGTGACTGTGACAGCATGGAATTCAAATGAGGAGATAGACAGATAAGTCAGGGGGAAAAGAGAGAATGTCCACTTGGGGGAAATGAAGATTCCTGTGCCACCGCCGCACTGACCAGATGCTCTCGGGGTATGCGAGAACACATGATCAGCCGAGGAAAGAGCAGTAGGAGTAGCAGTGTTTTCTGTGGTAATCCATGTTTCCATCAGCGCCAAGAAGTCGAGGGACTGGAGGGTAGCATAGGCTGAGATTAACTCTGCCTTGTTTGCCGCAGAACGGCAGTTCCAGAGGCTTCCGGAGACCTGAAACTCCACGTGGGTCGTGCGAGCAGGGACCACCAGAGTAGAGTGGCAGCAGCCACGCGGTGTGAAGCGTTTGTATGGCCTGTGCAGAGAGGAGAGGAGAGAACAGGGATAGACAGACACAAGTTGACAGGCTACAGAAAAGGCTACAATAATGCAAAAGAGATTGGAATAAAATTAACTAAACATCTGGGGAAGCGAGAGAGCGGGGCCTCCCTCACTTACCTTTCACTGAAACACTCAAATATAACTCTCCCAACTTCCACTTTAGAAATTGTAATTGTTGTAAACTACAGTGGTTCAATGTTTTCTAGGAATAGACTCTAACTTAGTTTATTCAGCTAGCTAACTTGGTACAGTATTCTTCTGTGAAAACTGCCCAGGGCACCGTATCCTATGACGCCAAAGCTAACTAGCATGCTAGCATCCAATAACACACGGTTTAGCACCAATACTTGGTTACAACAAACTACCAATAGTGTGTTAACACATTAAACAGATCATTTGTGTCCGTGTCTAGTTCCTTTCATAACGGATAAATAATTAAACGTTGGCTAGCTAGCACAAAGTCAGTCATGCTAGCTACACAAGTGGACTACTCATCTCGAATGTTCAGAAAGTGAAGCCTTACGTTGTCAAATTCTCATTGACTAAAATGATATTGTATTTAGTTGCTACAGTACTGCTAGCTGGTAGTGGTGGCTAGCTAGCAATGGCTGCGGTGTTGACTTTGTTTGAAAAAACGGCATCGCTGCGAACGAATGTAGCTGGCTAGCTAACCTCGATAGTTTCTCTATACTACACCTTTATCTTTGTTACAAAGACAACTATGTACAGTGAGGGAAAAAAGTATTTGATCCCCTGCTGATTTTGTACGTTTGCCCACTGACAAAGAAATGATCAGTCTATAATTTTAATGGTAGGTTTATTTGAACAGTGAGAGACAGAATAACAACAACAAAATCCAGAAAAACACATGTCAAAAATGTTAGAAATTGATTTGCATTTTAATGAGGGAAATAAGTATTTGACCCCCTCTCAATTAGAAAGATTTCTGGCTCCCAGGTGTCTTTTGTACAGATAACGAGCTGAGATTAGGAGCACACTCTTAAAGGGAGTGCTCCTAATCTCAGTTTGTTACCTGTATAAAACACACCTGTTCACAGAAGCAATCAATCAATCAGATTCCAAACTCTCCACCATGGCCAAGACCAAAGACCTCTCCAAGGATGTCAGGGACAAGATTGTAGACCTACACAAGGCTGGAATGGGCTACAAGACCATCGCCAAGCAGCTTGGTGAGAAGGTGACAACAGTTGGTGCGATTATTCGCAAATGGAAATAACACAAAAGAACTGTCAATCTCCCTCGGCCTGGGGCTCCATGCAAGATCTCACCTCGTGGAGTTGCAATGATCATGAGAACGGTGAGGAATCAGCCCAGAACTACACAGGAGGATCTTGTCAATGATCTCAAGGCAGCTGGGACCATAGTCACCAAGAAAACAATTGGTAACACACTACACCGTGAAGGACTGAAATCCTGCAGCGCCCGCAAGGTCCCCCTGCTCAAGAAAGCACATATACAGGCCCGTCTGACATTTGCCAATGAACATCTGAATGATTCAGAGGAGAACTGGGTGAAAGTGTTGTGGTCAGATGAGACCAAAATGGAGCTCTTTGGCATCAACTCAACTCGCCATGTTTGGAGGAGGAGGAATGCTGCTTATGACCCCAAGAACACCATCCCCACTGTCAAACATGGAGGTGGAAACATTATGCTTTCGGGGTGTTTTTCTGCTAATGGACAGGACAACTTCACCGCATCAAAGGGACGATGGACGGGGCCATGTACCGTCAAATCTTAGGTGAGAACCTCCTTCCCTCAGCCAGGGCATTGAAAATGGGTTGTGGATGGGTATTCCAGCATGACAATGACCCAAAACACACGGCCAAGGCAACAAAGGAGTGGCTCAAGAAGAAGCACATTAAGGTCCTGGAGTGGCCTAGCCAGTCTCCAGACCTTAATCCCATAGGAAATCTGTGGAGGGAGCTGAAGGTTCGAGTTGCCAAACGTCAGCCTCTAAACCTTAATGACTTGGAAAAGATCTGCAAAGAGGAGTGCGACAAAATCCCTCCTGAGATGTGTGCAAACCTGGTGGCCAACTACAAGAAACGTCTGACCTCTGTGATTGCCAACAAGGGTTTTGCCAAGTACTAAGTCATGTTTTGCAGAGGGGTCAAATACTTGTTTCCCTCATTAAAATGCAAATCAATTTATAACATTTTTGACATGCGTTTTTCTGGATTTTTTTGTTGTTATTCTGTCTCTCACTGTTCAAATAAACCTACCATTCAAATTATAGACTGATCATGTCTTTGTCAGTGGGCAAACGTACAAAATCAGCAGGGGATCAAATACTTTTTTCCCTCACTGTAGCTAGCTAACATTACACTAATCAAATCGTTCCATTGTAATGTAATGTGTCATATTACCTGCGGAGCGAAGTACAGCATGACTACTCACTCCAGGAGCCAACTCAACTCCCAGACACACACACACACACAGAGACACACAGAGAGACAGACTATCTAACAAATAGTAACAGAAGTAAGACTTAAGCCGTCTCACCGTGGACCTCAACATAATGCAGTATACTAACCTCCTTCGGTGTAAACACATGCACTCCCACTCCCCACAGGTCCTCCGGGTTCTCAGGGTGACCGTGGCTACCCCGGCTCCACTGGCTCTGTGAGTTCAGGCTTCCTGCTGGTGATCCACAGCCAGTCGGTGGAGGTCCCTGTGTGTCCCGAGGGCAGCAGCCCCCTGTGGACCGGCTACAGCCTGCTCTACTTGGAGGGACAGGAGAGAGCACACACACAGGACCTGGGTACGTATGAACCACTAGATGTGTGTGGAGGGGTGGATCGAGGGTAGGGGTGGTGTGGGAGGGAGGGGATACTAACTAATAAGGTATCTCCATTTTGTGTCTGCTCATCAATGTATTCACGTCTGTCTTTCAATGTATTCACATCATGGTTGGGGTCAATTCCTTTTCAGTTCAGTCAATTCAGGAAGTAAACCAAAATTAAAATGTTCCTATGAGAAATAAATAGTATTGGAATTGGAATTTCAGTTCCTGAATTGGCTGAATTGAATTGACCCCAACCCTGATTCACTGTCTCTCTCCCTCCCCCCTCCACTCTCTCTCTTGCTCTCCTCTCCCCCCCCCAGGTCAGGCCGGCTCCTGTCTGCGTGTCTTCAGCACCATGCCCTTCTCCTACTGCAACACAGGCACCTGTGACTACGCCAGCCGCAACGACAAGTCCTACTGGCTCTCCACCACCGCCGCCGTGCCCATGATGCCCGTGTCGGGCCGCGACATCCGCGCCCATATCAGCCGCTGTGCCGTGTGTGAGACGCCCTCGCCGGCCGTGGCGGTGCACAGCCAGGATTACATCGTCCCCACCTGCCCCCCTGGATGGAGGAGTCTGTGGGCTGGTTACTCCTTCCTCATGGTGAGTGTGTGGTGGTGGTGGTGGGGGGGGATCTCTCTGTGTGTGTGTATGAAAATGTATGCACTCACTAACTGTAAGTCGCTCTGGATAAGAGCGTCTGCTAAATGACTAAAATGTAAAATGTGTGTGTGTCTGTATTGTGTGCAAAGTTGTGTTTTGATGTAGGTGTGTGTGTGTGCTTTATCTGAATAGAGTGTGTGTATATGACTGTGTTTCGCTCACACTATCCTCTCCTCTCTCCAGCACTCTGGTGCGGGCGACGAGGGTGGCGGCCAGTCTCTGAGCTCATCCGGCAGCTGCCTGCGAGACTTCCGTGCCCAGCCCTTCGTGGAGTGCCAGGGACCGCGGGGCACATGCCACTACTTCGCCAATGTCTACAGCTTCTGGCTGACCCATGTTTCCCTGGCCGAGCAGTTTGGCCCCGTCCCCGTCCCTAGCGTGTTGAAGGCCGCCGATCAACAGCGCCAGCAGGCCAGCCGCTGCCACGTGTGCACCAAGGGCTGAACACCTTATGAACACCACATATTTATTTTCTTAGATTGTTTTGTTTGTTGGTATTTTGTATGTTTATTGGATTGAAAGAGATAGAGGTGAAAGAGAAGAGTGAGTGTGCTGAAAGAGCAGTAGAACAGATTTGAATCCATGCTGGCAGCGGTACATCATACATGTGCTCCAGATCGCTAGACCAACCCAGGCCACGTCACCTCCTATGTCATCCATAAGTCAAGTTGCCTCCCTAATATGATTGCCAAACTACCCCGACCCCGCTACATCACTGTCCCAATGCTATGCTAGCCCTGTCAGCACCCAGTCCCACCTGGTAGTCGGTTGTTCTCTGTTGAACCTTATACATTTGTCAACTTGTCAGGGATACATACAATCATCATCTACTACCGTCTACCATTTTGACCATGGTGGCTAGTTTTTAAAAAACCATAGTGTGGATTGCAGTCTATACTAGTCCATATACCACATTCAAGGTAAGGAAACATCAATCAAGTATGGAGGATGATGTAATTTCACTGAACTATCCCTTTAACTTACTTCGTGATGGCTGGCATTGGCCAGGTCATAGACGGGTTGGTTGTTTAGCAACAAAACCGACGCGTGCGCAACTATGGGGTAAAACAGACGGGGTTGGCTTAGATTGTTGACAACATGTAAACTATATTTCGTCTCCAATGTTTATTGAAAACATAAAAAAATGTGCTCAATGGGCACTTAATGTCTCTCAAATACGTTACAGTTGTTGGTTAGCTAGCTAGCGAATTTTAGCCATATTAGCATAGACGTGAAATCAGTCAAAACACCTCAAAACAAGACATCAAGATTAAAACGAGCCACCTACGATTCCCCACATGGCAGCTTTTTGTCATTGTTGCTAGCTATCTGGCCATCCAGAATCAGAACAACACACGGCGTTCTGCCCCATTAAAGCGCAAGCATTGTTTTCGTGACATTGTCAGCTAACCCATCTATAGGCACAATTGTTCAGCACTGATCAACCTGCACTGAGCACCTCCCAGACCAGGAAGGGACAGTGGACACTGGGAAAGGAGTAAGCCATGTGAACACACTGGATTGCTCAGAGAGTGCAGTCGTGACGTGACTTTCATTAATATGATGACTGTTATTTATCGAATCAACTAACTATGTTTAATTGTTACCCGATTTAAGTTAATAATGTAACAATCAACTCATTAGGATTTGGGGCACCACGGGAGAAGTTGTTTATATAGTTACCGTCTCCCGAATTAAACTCTAAAGGTCATTACCTATCAATATGTATAAAACAGTCAACGTATCAATCATTACCTCTTATCAGTCTCATTCTGAATGTTCGCAGAATTCTTGGATCCGCAAGAACCCCAGCTTTACTTATGATTCAGCACTACACAAATTGGCTTAATTATTTATTTACTAGCGAACTAAATAATAACACAGAATACATACATACTTAATACATGAGAAAAAGTCCCTAGCGGACTAGAACAGCATGACTGCTTAGTTATCAAAAGAGGGAGGGGTAGATAGGGAGAGACAAAGAGAGTGAAACTTATCGTTGATACATTTGGAAGCTACCCTCAAAGTAAGTCTTTGTCCGTCGTCTCTCCGTTGAAACCAATCAATCCTTCTATGGGGAAGGAGTAGGTTTTAGTGTCCCGTTTCGGTGTAAGGCTCAGCTTGTCCACCAGAGGTCACAATGTCCTTCGTAGTTGTCCTGGCTTTGAGTGGAGTGTTCAAATAGAACAGATACTCAGATGCATTCTAATGATAGTCTGAGATGGGATTTTCTCCTTCCCCCTTGTGTGGTTAGTTAAAGTTCTAGACCACTTTACACTGACAGCTGCAGACTGGCAACGTTCTGGTCTGGGAGTTCATCTTCTTCTCCTCGGGTTGAGATTCAAAGTTCTAACCATTTCAAACGTGTGGACTACCGTCTCCACGCTTTCTGGCCTGATGTGAATTTGTCTTTCAAGCCTTTATGCCCTCTGGTAAAAGGGGCATTCGTACTTGCTGACCCGGTCTCTGAGCTCACTCTGGGGGAATGGCTAGTCACCATGCATAGCTGATATGAAAACCTATGATCTCGTTTAGAAAACTAAAACCACATTCCTATCTTAACAAAAATACTCTCATAATTCTCCATATTATATACACAACATATTGATGTAAACTTGACAGATAAAGTGTGTATACTTTCCAAATTACTGTATTTTTATTATAACATTTTTAATGACATCACAAAATAATAAACAATATGGCATGATTAGTCTTTAGATCCCCACTGACCATTCCATACATTTGGATGTTAGAAATATTGTTCCAGTGTTTACTTTTTGGATGTTATAGTTTTGGCGGCAAAAGTATTCTGGAGGACAAAGCACATTCCGATCACCATACTAGAGGGTCAGATTAATAGATTCTCCTCCTCTTAGATTTACGAGGTGTCAAAACCATTGTTGTCAGCCATTTGCCAAGCTGATCTGAGGCCTTTGATCCTCACCCAGGAGATTCATGACAGCGCTCAACAGTGGAAAACCAGCTATTCACTCCCACAAAGACTACAGGCTAAAAGACACAGTATGTAAAACTGTGTATGTAAAAATCTGTATGTAAAATAACCAATAATCTAGTATTGTTGTATCAATATCCATGTCATAATGTTAGAATTAAGTAATAAGTCCCGAGGGGTGTGGTACATGGCCAATATACCACAGCTAAGGGCTGTTCTTGGAAACAGCCCTTAGCCGAGGTATATTGGCCATATACCACAAACCCCCAAGGTGCCTTATTGCTATAAAAAACTTGTTACCGACATAAATAGAACAGTAAACAAGTATTTTGGCGTCAAAGCCGTGGTATATTGTCTGATATACACACTTCTGGAATGCTGTTTCAGCCAACCAGCATCCAGGACCCAAACTACCCTGTTTATAATTTATAATTTACACAACTGCTATTACAGTTTGAAAATGCACTGGTCCCATTTTTTCGTACATCATAACTGTTTTATATACCGGTTTTTAGTTGTGTAAAATGAAATGACAAATGAAATGGTTTAATTTAGTTTCTTGTGTCTTGGTGTGAATATCAATTTTGTTGATGTTGGTGCTGATTATTACAGTCGTGCTGTTATTGTTTTTGATCAAATTGAGCTATTCCATGTTTGTATAACAGATACGCAAATGTCGTTATTCTTTAAAAGTTGTATCCACAATGACAAATTCCTTGTGAATCATGTCATTTACAGGGACCTTTTCCATTAACTTTAACAAGTGCTCTTTTTTTAAGGTTACTCTTATTGAAAACCATAAGTATCCAAGTAAATCGGAGTGAAATGTAAAGACCAAAAGCACAATCACATATTTTACCAGGAGTCCCAGCTCTTCCACAGTGAGTCGGAAGTTAATATTTATTTCTCTCGACAACAGAAGCCAATCAGCATACAGTACTTTTTTCTTTTCTTTTCCTTTTTTAGAATGAAGAGCACAATCAACACAATGAGACAGTGCTGTGCTCTCTCTACCTCTTCACAGTGCACACTATTTACACACACAAAAAGGATCGTTAAACATCGTTGTACATTTCCGACCTGCGCTGACCTACCACTTGGGTCAGAAAAGTTAATGTTTTAAACAATCATTTCAGTGTTCACCTGCATACATTGTCGATTGGCACACACTAACGCACAAGGTGTAAAGGGCTTGTTGAGGACCGCCGTGTTGATTTCTCAATGGAAGGGGTACTGCACTGGCTTAACCAGTTAGGTTGTTCATGCTACTCCTAGACTTTCTTTCCTCTATTCCTATAGGCTGCTCATGTCTGCCAATGGATGGACAGATTTGGGGCTCTATCCGTTTATTGGTCTCTTAACCCATTTTGATGCCCAACATCACTACAGTGCATTTGTACCTTAAATATCCTCAAAGTGATTCATGGCTTGATGTAGAAGCCACAGATCTGGGGTCAGATTACCCAAATCCTAACCTTAGCCATTAGGAGATCATTAAAAAAGAATTGCCCTGGACCAGCGGTTAGAGGCAACACCTGACTCACATTGACTTCAGGTGCATGCTGGTCTATGCTTGCCTGACGACTCAAACTGAATTTATCATTCGCTACATACTTCAGTCTGAGACTGCCATCATTGAAGTCGTTTGTGGTGTCGTCAAAATGAAGGGTGTTGTACAAAACAGTCATCAGCGATTGGATCATCTCTAACCAATCAGAGTATCAAAGACAATGACTAATTGTCAAATGCCGCTTTACCCACGTGTTCTGGCTCTGGCCCAACCTATTGGTTTCTGGGACAAATCAGACGGTCGAGAATGGATTTCCATTCTAGAAATCGTTGGGGAGGTACTCAGAGCCAGACTCATTGTGGAGAAGAAACTAACGTAGCTTTTGGCCGGAGCAAGGATTCTGGGTAGCCAGGCAAGGTCTATGGACAGACAGGAAAAGGAGATAGGAGGGGAATCAGATTTTTTTTTTCAATACATACATTGTATTTCTTACATACAAAAGAGAACCACTTTAGATGATGTAAAAGAGAACCACTTTAGATGATGCAGGAGGTTGAGCTAGAGGAGCAACAGATGGGCATGGATACTGCCTAATTGAGTGTGATGGATGATGGGTAGTGTAGTTTTTTAATTATTAACCTTAAGCCTTGATCTGTAGGCCCTTGTGCAACCCTTCTTATACTTGGGCAGAGCTGTGGCCACGCTATAGGTCCTTATCTAATGCCTAAAATGGATGCCACCAAGCAGCCGCCAATCACGGGGTAACATGTTACAGACAGCCAATCATCCGCCACCATACCACCCAGCCTGTGGGTACAGTATCTACTCTGTGAGAGGAAGCCCTCAATGTGCCTGGCACAGTAGGACAGCTTTGCCACCAACCCATATTAGATAACCAACCCTTGCAAAGTGCAACGTCACCACCCACAATTGACCTCAACAGGCTGGCTGGTTTGGGATAATAGGTTCACGTTTATCTCCCCGACCCACCCTTGTTTCCATCTTCGTGTAATGTCATCGAAAATTGTCACTTGTGTACTACATGCCAGCCAACCCATCTAAGAAATCCTCATCAAAGGCTCTGACTGACTAGACAGCTAGTGAACATACAAACTGAAGCACAAGATTCCTGACCTGTTCTAGGACTAAGTATTATACATTCTAGAACACATTGGCCCAAGGGCTAATGGCAACCAGAGCCAGGTATTTAGATCTAAATATATGGCTCGGATAGAAACCTATGTCAACTGAACTCCTCAAGCTACAGTGACAGCATGTTGACAGTCAGAATATCCTCCATGGAAATTAATTGAGCATTTGGCATAAAGAATTATGCTTGATAGACTATGCTTTAAAATGTTAAATACCAAAACAAAAACGTAAATAAAACATTGGATTGAGCTACATAGTTTTTGCTGCTTCATCGCTTTTTGTTTAGAAAATATCTATTCATACGAAGTCACACGAAATAGAAAAATATCAAATATCACTGGTGGTGATAAGAAAAAATGACAACCTGAACAAGTGGAAATATTGCTATGGTAACCACCATTATCCTTTGACATCAGCGATTCCCCCCTGCTCTTATTGGCTGCAACTGACACCTCTGATGCGGAGTGGGCCAATCAGTAGGCACAGAGTCCAGAAGGAGGATGGGCGTGGGGCTAAGTGGGTTATAGTCAGATGGCTGTGTCCCAGAACACGGTGGTTTGTGTAGGGTAGGGGGGAGGCCGGATCTTTTTGGCCCCGTTGCTCTTCCCCCAGGTGGGGAGGGTAGGCATGCTGTCCTGCTTACAGAGGTTCCGGTCCGGGGGGTTCCTGTCTGGCTGTTGCCTGGAGCGGATCTCAATGCACAGGGAGCGCTTCCTTTCAATCTGCTCCAGCATGGTGCTGTCCCCACACATCCACGGCATCTGGGACGCCTGGGGAAAAGCGGAGCGGTAAGTAACCAGGGAAAGTAAATCAAGCACATCTCAAGAATAAAAGAAAACAAATCTATATTGATCCAGGTCTGGAGGAGGGGCCTATCTCATCAACTTACCTGTGCCTCTGGTGCTCGCCTCTGTGGGGTCCCTAAGGGAGAGGGTGTAACTGGGGCGGAGGAAGAATGGCCATACTTCGGAAGTGCTGGTTTCAGCTCTATAAAGACGGACAAATGCGTTTTTAATTAATTAATTAACTTTTAATGGTTTACATGTAAACAAAACAAAACCTTACGGTGAAGCAATACGCAGTTGTAAGCCTAAACACAATCTCAGACCCACCACATGCATTGATGTCCGTTACCATCTTTCAAGACCAGAATAAATATTGTACTTTGAAGACCACCATGTTTTTCCGTCTTGCCTATAAGATAACGCATTTACTTCTATGTTGTGTAGCCTAAGCTCCTAGCTTTTTCGGCTACAATGTTTCAAAAAAGCACCTGCACCTGGTCAAGGCAGTGTGAGTATCTTCCCGTCAAAACCATAGAAAAGCAAGTTGCAGTCCAAAAATAATTTTAGACTGCAACCTGATGAGCACAGTTGGCGAAGTACCCTAGGTAAGTTGCTTATTTCATGTACAGTACCAGTCAAAAGTTTGGACATGCCTACTCATTCAAGGGTTTTTCTTTATTTTCACTATTTTCTACATTGTAGAATAATTGTGAAGACATCAAAACGATGAAATATTTTTTTTTAAATTTTTTTTCACCTTGATTTAACCATGTAACCAGTTAGAACAGGTTCTCATTTACAACTGCGACCTGGCCAAGTAAAGCAAGTAGTTCAATAAAAACACAAGAGTTACATATGGGGTAAAAAACATAAGTCATAAATCAAGAAATATATATAACAGTTGTGCAAATGTAGTCAAATAACACATATGGATAATCATGTATTAACCATAAAATAAATAGTGTTAAACAAATCAAAATATATTTTATATTTGAGACTTCCTCAAAATCGACACCCTTTGCCTTGATGACAGCTTTGCACACTCTTGGCATTCTCTCTCAACCAGCTTCATGAGGTAGTCACATGGAATGCATTTTAATTAACAGGTGAGCCTTCTTAAAAGTTAATTTGTGGAATCTCTTTCCTTCTTAATGCGTTTCAGCCAATCAGTTGTATTGTGACTGGGGGGGGGGGGGTATACAGAAGATAGACCTATTTGGTAAAAGACCAAGTCCATATTATGGCAAGAACAGCTCAAATAAGCAAAGAGAAATGACAGTCCATCATTACTTTAAGACATGAAGGTCAGTCAATACAGAACATTTCAAGAACTTTGAAAGTTTCTTCAAGTGCAGTCGCAAAAACCATCAAGCGCTATGATGAAACTGGCTCTCATTAGGACCACCACAGGAATGGAAGACCCAGAGAGTATAAATTCAAAAGAGTTACCAGCCTCAGAAATTGCAGCCCAAATAAATTCTTCAGAGTTCAAGTAACAGACACATCTCAACATCATCTGTTCAGAGGGCACTGTGTGAATCAGGCCTTCATGGTCGAATTGCTGCAAATAAACCACTACTAAAGGACACCAATAAGAAGAAGAGAATTGCTTGGGCCAAGAAACACGAGCAATGGACATTAGACCGGTAGAAATGTGTCCTTTGGTCTGGAGTCCAAATTTGAGATTTTTTTTCGTAAAGCATGGAGGAGGAGGTGTTATGGTGTGGGTGTGCTTTGCTGGTGACACTGTCTGTGATGTATTTAGAATTCAAGGCACACTTAACCAGCATGGCTACCACAGCATTCTGCAGCGATACGCCATCCCATCTGGTTTGGGCTTAGTGGGACTATCATTTGTTTTTCAACAGGACAATGACCCAACAAACCTCTAGGCTGTGTAAGGGCTGTTTTACCAAGAAGGAGTGATGGAGTGTTGCATCAGATGATCTGGCCTCCACAATCCCCCGACCTCAACCCAATTGAGATGGTTTGGGATGAGGACCGCAGAGTGAAGGAAAAGCAGCCAACAAGTGCTCAGCATATGTGGGAACTCCTTCAAGACTGTTGGAAAAGCATTCCAGGTGAAGCTGGTTGAGAGAATGCCAAGAGTGTGCAAAGCTTTCGTCAAGGCAAAGGGTGGATATTTGAAGAATCTCAAATATAAAATATATTTTGATTTGTTTAACACTTTTATTTTTACTACATGATTCTATATGTGTTATTTCATAGTTTTGATGTCTTCACTATTATTCTACAATGTAAAAATAAAGAAAAACCCTTGAATGAGTAGGTGTGTCCAAACTTTTGACTGGTACTGTATATATTACAGCTGGGTTTTCCTGTTTAAGAGATATATATATATACAGTATATTAGCGCTATATATATTTAGGAGTTTTCCCTGGTCAGGTCACATGGTCAGGAGAAACCATTGGCCCTAAAACCCTTGCTGAAAACCTATATTCAGTCAAAGCAATGAGATTCTGCAAACCGACCTGCCCAAGCTAACAAACATTTGCTAAACTGATGTTTGGATATTTTGCTTCAGCTGGTAGGCCTAAATATATAGTTTACTTCAGCAAGTTTATTTTATGCCAATAACTTTCAAATATCAATAATAACCCACTGGGCACAGATGTCAGTTAAACGTCTATTTTTTGATTTATATTAGATTGAGTTGTCAACTGACATGATTTAGGTTAAAAGTTGGGTGAAAAAAATATGCAATTCCCTTATGTTGATGACTTTTTGCAAATCCAATCAGTTTTCTACGTTGATTCAACGTCAACACATTAATTTATTTCGTGAGGAAAAACAACGTTGATTCAACCAGTTTTTGCCCAGTGGGAACCTTACTACCTTGGTTGTATACATGTTAGGATGAGGACATGTTTAGTGTCTGTAAATCATTTACCACAGTCACTTCCTGGTGTCTGGTTGTGTTGAACTGTATGTGCAATTTCAATTAGGCTTTCCTCACCTGTATTGCCAGTTCCCAACACCATTGGCGGACTGCCAGCAGGTCTACCGTGCCGAGTTGGTGTGGACGTCGATGATTGTTGCCCTGATACACCGTTCCTCGCTTGTGCTTTTGATTGCTCAACGCTATAGGTCCCCCTATCTCTGCCATCACGCCTGAGCAAGGCCTCTGAGCTTTGACCAACCCGGTCTTTATTGTCGCACCTAAGATCAACCACATTGACACTCTTGCCGTAGCTATCGCGCCGGGGGGGCAGCTCTGAGCCATTGCAGCTTCTGTCCTTGCTGTCACGCCTGGCTTCAAGGCCATTTCTGGCTGACTCTTTGATTTCCTGTCGGGGTAAGGGGAAGGGCTCCATTCCATTGTAACTTCGTTCTTTGCCATCATGTCTAGACTCCAGGCCGTAGCACTCCCTGTCTCGGTCTTTGCTATTACGTCTGCACTCAAGGCCATTTCTGGGTGAATCTTTGCTATTTTGTCTGGGTAGGAGCTCTGGTGGCTGGTACAATCGTTCTTTGCTCTCATGTCTCGAATCCATTCCGTTCCTGGTTCGGTCTTTGCTATCTTGCCTGGGTAGAAGTTCTGGTGGGTTCTGGTGGCTGAGCCTTTCTTTGCTGTCGTGTCTGGACTCCACACCGTTCCGGGGAGAGTCTTTGCCGTCCGGTCGCAGTAACGGCTCCATGCCGTGGACACTTCTGTCTTTGCTGTCCCGTCTGACAGGCGGGGGTTCCACACTACCACAACCTCTATCTCTACTGTCCATTTTTATAGGCAAGGGCTCCACACTGTTACAACCCTTGTCTTTGCTGTACCGCCTGGGCAGCGGCTCCACGCTGCTACAGCTCCTGTCCTTGGTGTCGCGTCGGTGAGAAGAAGACTCTTTGCTACGTTCCTTACTCTCCCGTTTGGACTCCTTGTGACTGTGCCGCTCCTTGCTCTCCCGTTTGGACTCCTTGTGACTGTGCCGCTCCTTGCCATCACGTTTGGACTCACTGTGAGACATACTCTTGGACTCGGCTATAACAGAGGAGAAACACAGTCGTTGTACCGTAAAATACCAAGTTATGTCCACACAAAAATAACTAGTAAACATAGGCTATATACCATAAAGAAGATGAAAAATGAAAGAACATCTGTAAAACAATATATATATATACTGCACTACCGCTATATGGCCACGCGGTGTCACCCATGCGCTGTGGTAGCTATGAACTATTGGTATGCTGGGATGAAACGCTGTTGTTTCGTTCCGCAGAGACATCCAGGATGTGACTTGCATAGATGCTATTATCAATGGGTAGGTAAAGGCCCAGTAACCACTTTGAATGCATTCTTATTTCATTTGTTTCTTCTTCTGTGTTATGGCTCAGACACACCAATAGCATTTGCTGGCTGAGAGTACTTAAAGGGACATTTCAAAATGTTTCAACTTCATATTCATCATCTCCAGCTCCACCCCAACGTCAACATATGTGAAAATTGTGCGTTTTTCTGTTTTGTAGTAAAAGAGGAAGATAAGTGTTTCCAATGACATCATCAACCAATTAGGAGGCGATTAGTAGGCGATGCCTCCTCATAATTGGTTAACATCACATGATGCACAACGATGTCATTGGAAGCACTTATCTTCCTCTATCTTTTTTTGCTGCAAAACTTATAAACGTGCCATTTTCACATGATGATGTTTGGGTGGTGCTGGAGATTATGAACAATGTTCCCTCAACAGGCTGTACCCTTACAATTTTAGACAGTACATTTACGTAATTTAGCAGACGCTCTTATCCAGAGAGACTTACAAATTGAACATTTTAGAAATGTCCTTTTAACACAGTTCGCTTAAAGATCGGCAGACAAATGCTAGATCCACATTCGGTGCGATGTGTGCAACCCTTAATCTGTCGAATTTGGTGACATTTTTCTAAAACGATTGTAATGTTCTATCTCGCTCTGCTTGTCTCTTTCTCTCGCGTAGATCCCTCATTCACAAAATTGCTATGGGCAGCACTGTTCCATCTGTCCAGATTTGTAAACTCTAAAGGAAGTTAGAAGTCAGAGAGCGTTCCTCGACGTTCTGACAACCAAAAGGCAACAGCCCAAAAGAGACTGACATCGGTAAATCTCTGAGAAAAAAACACACAAAAAAACATCATGCATGGTTGATTCCCAGCAGAGCGCTTTGGTGCATTACTAGTCCCATATGACAAGGCTTGCGTGTCACCAGTGCGTGCTGGTTGTACGGGTCTGAGAGGTGGTTAACCAGGAGGAAAGTGGGACATTCTAGCTAGCTGTGATTCTATCGTCTATCCTCCCAGATAGCAAGAGGGAGGATGCCTGCACGTGACCAATCATAAAACGTTGGTCAGTGGACCTGCCATTATGTGAGACCCACGAGGCTGGCTGGACGCTGGTGCTACGATAGAAAAACCCGTAGACGTCACAGCATTGCCCGCCACTACATAGTGTGAGTAAACATAGTTTATGAGCCAAAAAAGGGCTAAAGGACAAATCTGAATTGTGCATCAATAAGACATTACTGCAAATGCATACATTTTTTCACAGTCCAAAGAAATACACAGCAATTGCGTAAAAGGCGAGATGCAAACATTTGTCATAACCACTAAGACTTCCAACAGTCAGAGAAAATTGTGGTACAATTCCAGGAAGTCAGCAACTGTCATAGATGGGGGGGCTTCTTTCTCTCTCCTGATTGGTGACTGTGAATATGTTTCCCTGATTGGTTAAATCTCTACTAGCTGATTGGGCTAACAGAGGAATATAACTCTCTGATCAGGTGTAAAAGCCTTGGCTGTCTCTCAGGAGCCCGCTGCTGCACGTAATCAGTTGGAAGCCTGCGTGACCTGCGCTGCGATTGGCCCACTTCCCCACATGGAGGGATTCTGCAAATAAGAGAGGCTCCTTCTTCTGTTGCTATGACTGGCTTGGAGTTGATGGTTGCTATGAAGCTCTGGGAGGTAAGTGCGGATTGATTGACACATGTCCAGTCCTTTTTTTAAAAACTATATGGATTCAAATTCACTCAACTGGTGGGAATTCCCCCATGGAGTTAGTTGATACAGTAATGTTAGATCTCTCTCCAAATCACCAGCTGCTCTTTTCTGCCAATCTGATAAAAACCCACTCACACACTTCACTGCTCTTGTGACCATTATTAAGGAACACAAACATGTGAAAGTTCTGACTGCTTACACATTAATTACTGCAGTACAGTGTGCATATGCAATGCACAGCCTATGTGGTTTCAAACACAAATTCATGTTTTATTCCGTTGCATTAGGCCCATTGAAGTTTCTGTCTCAACAGGAGAGAAGTAATGGCTGAATTATGCATACAAATTTAACATGAATTCATGATTTAAAATAAACTCACAGGATGGTCGACATAAAACTGAAGAAAAAAAAAACGGTTCTGAAGTTATATAGAAATGTGCTAATCTCCGGTGTTGGGAACCTATCAGAATTCACAGTTGATGTAATTTTGTCTGGGTCCTGCACTAGACACAATGGCCTCCTGTGTTTAAACTTGAGGGCTGGGTCCTGGACTGGACTGGACACATTGGTTTCCTGTGTTTAAACATGAGGGCTGGGTCCTGGACTGGACACATTGGTTTCCTGTGTTTAAACATGAGGGCTGGGTCCTGGACTGGACTGGACACATTGGCTTCCTGTGTTTAAACATGAGGGCTGGGTCCTGGACTGGACTGGACACATTGGTTTCCTGTGTTTAAACATGAGGGCTGGGTCCTGGACTGGACACATTGGCTTCCTGTGTTTAAACATGAGGGCTGGGTCCTGGACTGGACACATTGGCTTCCTGTGTTTAAACATGAGGGCTGGGTCCTGGACTGGACTGGACACATTGGTTTCCTGTGTTTAAACATGAGGGCTGGGTCCTGGACTGGACACATTGGCTTCCTGTGTTTAAACATGAGGGCTGGGTCCTGGACTGGACTGGACACATTGGCTTCCTGTGTTTAAACATGAGGGCTGGGTCCTGGACTAGACACATTGGCCTCCTGTGTTTAAACATGAGGGCTGGGTCCTGGACTGGACACATTGGCTTCCTGTGTGTAAACATGGTGTTTACATATTTAAGAGTAATGGTGTGTGGTGGCTTAATGTCACTGCAGGGTTTGAGAGGTCCTCATGTCAGCCGCTCTACTCCCTAATCCTGCCAGATTAAATCATATGATCTGTATCAATCTACATTCGGTGGGCCTAGATTAAACGGGCTCATGGAGGAAATGCTTGCAAAGAGCCACAAAACACCCACGGCATAGCCTACATGCTATCAGCAGCATCTCCTACTTTAGCGGGATTGGAAGTTGTTTTACCAGATGAAAAGGGGGTTACGTTGATGCGACACGAATGAGACCACTAATAACTAATTTCATTTTTATTTTTACAATGTGTCAATGGGTTATGGCACGGCAGTCACATTGGATCAGACTGGATACATGTGGAGTAACTATTTTGTTACTCTACCGCTATGTAGCTATTGACTGATTCTGTAACCATATTGACAAATAGATGATGAGATGCATTGACTGACTGAATGATTGATTGACACTCACTCTCCCCGGGCTCCTTGGACTTCCTCCCGCTGGCGTTCTTCTTCATCATGTTCCTGCCGGCGGTGAACAGGTTGGTCAGCTCGTCCAGGGGGCTGGTCGGTGTGCGCGAGCGTCCCGTGGACACGTTCTGCATCGACCCATGCAGCCTGCCCCCGGCCACGCAGTCCTGTGGGGGCGAGCCCTTTCCTTGGGGGGTGGCGGAGGCGCTGCGCGGCAGCCCGCCCGGGAAAGGCATGGAGGCGTCGAAGGGTGCTGTGCGCATCAGGCTAAGCGGCGTGAGGCAGCGGCCCATGCTGACGGGAGAGGGGCAGGCTGAGTGGCTGCGCTGATAGCCGTGGGCCGAGGAGGCCGAGGACTTGTAGAGGGTGCAGGGCAAGGGCGGAGCCGACGAGCGACCCGACACGGTCAGGGTGGGCGTGGCTGTCAACTCCCGGCGGAGGTGCGCCAAGGGGGGCTCGGAAGAGGAGGTGGGCGACTTGTTGTAGGCGCTGGGGTTGTCCATCATGGGCAACTTGGTCAGTGCGTCGAGAGGGGTGAGCGGGGACTCGTCCGAGTTTGGCGAGCACTGGGCCGGCGCCGGGGGGAACACCAGGAGGGGCGGCCGGTGGGTGAGCAAGTTGGGGAAGGGCGCAGGGATGTCGCAGAGGGGGATGTTGCGCGGGGTGGAGCAGCGGCTGAGGGGCTCTGGGTCCAGGGGCGCCGGGGTGGGGCAGGCGGAGCGGCACCCCGGGGGGTCCCAGCGGTAGTCCATATCATCCAGGAGGGGGTATTTCATCTCCTCATACACAGACTCTCCCGGCTCCTCGTCCTCACTCTTGGGTGCCTCTGTGTGCCCGCCGCCCCCAACACTGGCGCCCATCTCGATGTAGACGGGCTCATCCGAGTCAGAGTGGTGGCTGGGGCTCTCGTCGCTCGGTGGCGAGGGGTTGCGCTCGCGCTCGGCAGAGGGGGAGTGACCCTTGGAGCCAACGTGCTTCCTGATGTAGGAATCATCAAAGGAGGTGCTCAGCTGGGTGGTGGGGTTCCTCCTGGGTTTGGAGGGAGCGATCCTCTTGCAGTCTTCGCCGCAGCCTTGTGGCGCTGAAGGAACAGAAAAACAAAACGTTCAGATGATCTTTAGCATAAACCGTATTACTGTATTATTACGTGTTACATGTCTTTAGGTCACAATAGCTGAATGAAATTCATTGAGTGAGATATATTTGATACAGTGGGGAGAACAAGTATTTGATACACTGCCGATTTTGCAGGTTTTCCTACTTACAAAGCATGTAGAGGTCTGTAATTTTTTATCATAGGTACACTTCAACTGTGAGAGACGGAATCTAAAACAAAAATCCAGAAAATCACATTGTATGATTTTTAAGTAATTCATTTGCATTTTATTGCATGACATAAGTATTTGATCACCTACCAACCAGTAAGAATTCCGGCTCTCACAGACCTGTTCATTTTTCTTTAAGAAGCCCTCCTGTTCTCCACTCATTAACTGTATTAACTGCACCTGTTTGAACTCGTTACCTGTATAAAAGACACCTGTCCACACACTCAATCAAACAGACTCCAACCTCTCCACAATGGCCAAGACCAGAGAGCTGTGTAAGGACATCGGGGATAAAATTGGGCAAGCAGCTTGGTGAGAAGGCAACAACTGTTGGCGCAATTATTAGAAAATGGAAGAAGTTCAAGATGACGGTCAATCAACCTCGGTCTGGGGCTCCATGCAAGATCTCACCTCGGGGGGCATCAATGATCATGAGGAAGGTGAGGGATCAGCCCAGAACTACACGGCAGGACCTGGTCAATGACCTGAAGAGAGCTGGGACCACAGTCTCAAAGAAAACCATTAGTAACACACTACGCCGTCATGGATTAAAATCCTGCAGCGCACGCAAGGTCCCCCTGCTCAAGCCAGCGCATGTCCAGGCCCGTCTGAAGTTTGCCAATGACCATCTGGATGATCCAGAGGAGGAATGGGAGAAGGTCATGTGGTCTGATGAGACAAAAATATAGCTTTTTGGTCTAAACTCCACTCGCCGTGTTTGGAGGAAGAAGAAGGATGAGTACAACCCCAAGAACACCATCCCAACCGTGAAGCATGGAGGTGGAAACATCATTCTTTGGGGATGCTTTTCTGCAAAGGGGACAGGACGACTGCACCGTATTGAGGGGAGGATGGATGGGGCCATGTATCGCGAGATCTTGGCCAACAACCTCCTTCCCTCAGTAAGAGCATTGAAGATGGGTCGTGGCTGGGTCTTCCAGCATGACAACGACCCGAAACACACAGCCAGGGCAACTAAGGAGTGGCTCTGTAAGAAGCATCTCAGGGTCCTGGAGTGGCCTAGCCAGTCTCCAGACCTGAACCCAATAGAAAATCTTTGGAGGGAGCTGAAAGTCCGTATTGCCCAGCGACAGCCCCGAAACCTGAAGGATCTGGAGAAGGTCTGTATTGAGGAGTGGGCCAAAATCCCTGCTGCAGTGTGTGCAAACCTGGTCAAGACCTACAGGAAACGTATGATCTCTGTAATTGCAAACAAAGGTTTCTGTACCAAATATTAAGTTCTGCTTTTCTGATGTATCAAATACTTATGTCATGCAATAAAATGCAAATTAATTACTTAAAAATTATACAATGTGATTTTTCTGGATTTTTGATTCCGTCTCTCACAGTTGAAGTGTACCTATGATAAAAATTACAGACCTCTACATGCTTTGTAAGTAGGAAAACCTGCAAAATCGGCAGTGTATCAAATACTTGTTCTCCCCACTGTATATGACTACGTAAAGAGACAGTCCCACGGTCTCCTCTCTATGACTCAAACCGCATTCACGACAAACACACACACAATTTATCCCTTTCATAGATTTCATATACACCCTCAACCTTAATCCAACCTCTACATGTGGTCCTCTGTAGCTCAATTGGTAGAGCATGGCGCTTGTAACGCCAGGGTAGTGGGTTCGATCCCCGGGGACCACCCATACGTAAAAATGTATGCACACATGACTGTAAGTCGCTTTGGATAAAAGCGTCTGCTAAATGGCTTATTATTATTATTATTTATTATTATTACATACTCACATTCATACTCTGAACTTAAAGTCTCCCCACTACACACACATACAGGCAAAACACGACCAAAACACAAGATGCACACTCACTGTAATTAAACATGTTTGTCAATTCAACAGGGCTTTATATCCCAGCATGCATCTCAACCTGAGGTGACAATAGGAGATTTGAGCTCAGCGTGGTCCAGTGTGTGTACAGATGTGTCAGTGTACTTTGTGTCTCTGCACTCGGATGGCTTGTTATTACTACTATCATCATGCTAACTGGTTGAATGGTGGATTTTGAGATCTGTTTCATGCACTAATGATGAGTCCATCCTCCCCCACCTCCCTTCCCCCGCTTTCTCGCCCCCTCCCCACAGGGGATGTGTTTACCCCCCCCTCCTGGGGGAAACAGAATCTAGGTCAGTCGCTCCTCCTGAATGAATTCTGCCTCTGACTGGCCCCTCCCCCTGCTCGGCGCAGAGCACGATCCGGCTCATGCAACAACCCTCCCCTCGGTGAGGGACACCCCCACACTCCGACGCCGATTGGCCGGGAGGCCTTAGAGCTCCACCGTTGCCGCCGCCTCATTGGCACGCGCTGCCTGCCCTCGATCTGATTGGCCGGGCTACGGGGGGGGCTTGTTTCTGTGGGACGGTTGCCTTGGCGCAGAGGAAGATCTGTGTGCACACGGTGATCCCCTCCAATCTGAGGCAGCCAGGCCAACTCCCTAACCAACCGTCACAATGGCACACTCATCAAACTGCAACGCGGTCAAATGCGACCGTATATTCACCCTTAAGTCTCTCACAGCCCCTTGAGACTGTACTACTTTAATAGTTCATTTCTAGTTCGTTTTGATGCTTGTTGTTTCCTGGCTCAGGAGGTGCTTTTTGTTCTGTTAAAGTATCTTGTTGTTTACATGCTACATGATATAGAAGGACATCTGTACAGCGTAACAGTGATTGAGTTTATAGTTAGGTGCTTTATGCTACGTTAGTTTACACCCCTAAGCAACAAGGCCACACTACTGATTTTAGAGTCAATAAAGTTACAATCATTTTGTACAAATAATATCTGATCAGAGATGGTCCAATGTCCATCCATTTGTTACCTTGTCGCTATCCCCCCCCCCCAAAAAAAAAAAAAAAAAAAAAAACATTGTAAAGTGGTTGGCCCACTGGCTATAAGGTGAATGCACCAATTTGTAAGTCGCTCTGGATAAGAGCGTCTGCTAAATGACGTAAATGTAAAAATGTATTCTTTGACCGTCTTTATTCCAATGTGTCCCATCCTTTGTTTCGGTCCTCTGCTCTCCTTTGATATCTGCTGTTATTATTAAATGCAGGTGAATTGACAATTGGCAGTAACCTCTTACTCTCTCTTTTCCTCACAACAGATGCGGAGCAGATTACTTTCATCTACCTGGTGAGGATACACGCTTTGAGCCGATCACAAAGCGGATATAGGCTAAACTAAACGGCTCACACCAGGACATCAAGATCAGGGCCCAGTTTCCCAAGAGCATTTTAAGGCTAAGTTCATCGTTAGAGCCTTCGTAGGAGCATCGTTAAATCTCTGAGATGTTTCCCAAAACCATCGTTATTAAAACCATTGTTGCACTTGAAAACGCTCATAATCTAACGGCTGCCTCAGACCACTAGAAAACCTAAATGCGTCGTTAGATGCTTTTTTTTTTGTCCACTTTATACACAGAAGATCTCTGCTAAACATCTCTCTGTGACTGCGGTAACTTCAGAACAAAGTTGACTACAAATACAAAGCTGCCAATATCTTTGCAATTGATACAAACAAGCAACGTATAAAAAGAGGCTTCAAATGAAAACCGAGATGACTGCATTAAAATATAAACAGTAAGCTATAGGCCTATTTCGATCATATTGAAATACATTTCATGTTCAATAAATGTAGCTCTATTTTGCTACTTGTAGGCTACTGTCTGTAATTTGGCTCAACATATTTCACGATGTGTGACAACGTGTGTGCAATGATGTGTCAAATTGGTGATTTTTAGGGCATTTTTATTGGGGAGAATAATAAGCCACCTCGTATTTGCAGCCATAGGTGGTAATATCTCTCTAGGGGCTGATCCGTCATCAGTATTGTGAAATCATTATAATGTTAAGGTAAGATTTGAATGGAGAAAGCTGATCAGAGAGCAGCTTCCTTTCTTTCTATCCTATCAGTATCGACACACGCTCCAATGACGCACTTAGCGACCGTTTCTCTCTGCGTGGTGTTTTGGGAAACGCGTGTTTCATCTTCGTCCGTTTGTAGGAAAGATGCATCGTTAAAACACTCCTAAGCCTAAACTATCGGGAAACCGGCCCTGATCTCTTCGGGTGTGACCCCTTCGCAGAACACATTCCTTTGCCAAATGTAAACAGGGTCTTTGTGGGCTTTTTAAAAAGCTTTATGGAGAAAACCGATGAGCAGACACTGTAGAACGCAGATACTCTGGGGAGGCATTTTGCAAGTGGTTAGCTTTCATAGCCACATCACAAATGGGACCGGTCAGTTCGCACGCACCTTTCAAACCTCAAGCCTGAACGAGTCAGTAGTCAGGTTGTGTTACTGTGTCCTGGCACACCATAAAAAAGTGTAATGGGAAGCCAGTTTGGATTTGGCTTCACTCCTATCGCATCGCATCGATAGAAATACGTGATTGACAGAAACAACTTGAATTGTTGTGTTGTTGTCCTCCGGTAGCTAGCTAGCTAAAATTGTCCCTTTCCTAAATTAGCCATGGATGGAGATAGGGATTTGTGACTTTCTTAATTCTCCATACTGGCCAATGATTTATAATGGCAATTCTGATCCAACCATAAATTCATACATTATGTCCCTGGACTGAGATGGGTGGAAGTTCAATATGTAGCTAGATGTACATATTATATATATATATATATATATATATATATATATATATATATATATATATATATATGTATATATATAATGTATATATGTAGAAGGCTAATGTTAATTAGCTAACGTTGCCCATGAATGGAAGGTAGGCTAGTGAGACAGCATTTTAGCCAGGTAGCCTAGGAAAACAAAAAATTAAAGCGTGTACTGTATGACAGAGTGATAGACCGTTTCGTCAACATGAAAGAGGATGGCGTTTAATTTTCTCTACAAGTAGGGTGAGTCAACATGTTTTTCTACTTGCGCACACACACACACACACACACACAAATCAGAACCATGGACAGCCACATCATATTTAGCTTACGTTGATTGGACTAAATTGTTTTTGGTATCTTTTAGTTGTCACTGTATTAGACTAAGCAGAGGTGATGTTGAATTTGAAATGGTGCTGAAATAGTGGAGGCGGCACCTGTTTTCTTTGCGACTTGCGTTAAGTCTCTGTGGTTCTAAATCAATAGTTGTTTAGTAGTCTGAAAAATGTCGGAAACATTAACTTGCTTGACCATGCTGTAGGTCATGTAGCTGTTTGTTACATGCAAAATGCTTTGTGGACTTCACCGGATAGAGGTTGCTCTCCGGTTTTGTATTGAAACAAAGGTGTGGTTGAATTTATTCTGTCACTGTGTCTTCTTATTGTCCAGGCCTTAGGCCTATACATCACGATGGCAAGGCATATGAACTAACAGGTTATAGAGCAAACAACGCAATTATCACAACACATAGGTGGTAAAATGCCTTTTCTTTTGGCTTTGCTTCCCCAGTGATTTTACCCACGCTCCGCTACTGGCAGCCCCATGGCCTTAAAGGCAGCCCTGTGATGAATAAAAAAAAGTCTGTACGCACATCCAACATCCAATGATAGTAGCAAACATTGGCCGCCTGGACAAATTAAATGTAGGCCTACATAAACGCCATGCATGACCATCAGGAGCATGACCTGACCTGACCTGACCTGACCTCTGACCTGAGCCACACTCACTAGAAGCAAATGTTTGATTTGTTCATCCACATTGCCGCACCTCATGTACACTGCACTCTGGCTGCTCGGATCATTCAATCCCACTGCTGCTGACGGTCATTCATTTACAGCCCTTAGAGATTGCATGGACTCTACAAGGTGTCGAAAGCGTTCCACAGGGATGCTGGCCCATGTTGACCTCAATGCTTCCCACAGTTGTGTCAAGTTGGCTGGATGTCCTTTGGTTGGTGGACACACACAGGAAACTGTTGAGCGTGAAAAAAAACAACAGCATTGCAGTTCTTGACATAAACCGGTGCGCCTGGCACCTACTACCATACCCCGTTCAAAATGCACTTCAATCTTTTGTCTTGCCCATTCACCCTCTGAATGGCACACACACAATCCCATGTCTCAATTGTCTCAAGGCTTAAAAATCCTTCTTTAACCTGTCTCCTCCCCTTCATCTATACCGATTTGAAGTGGATTTAACAAGTGACATCAATAAGGGATCATAACATTCACCTGGATTCACCTGGTCAGTCTGTCATGTTTTGTACACTCAGTGTACACCACCCGGTGTATATTGTGTAGTTTTGTTTTTGTAGTTGAGTAGAATGTTGGCGTAGTTGTGCGTTGTCGTGTAGTTTGTTTTATTAGCTGGTGGTACGCAGCATTATTTGTTGTAGTTGTGTAGTATTTTCCCGTAATTGTTGGTTGTTGCGTAAGGGTCTTGTTTGTTTGCGTAGTTGTGCGTTAAGTATTATTTCTCATAGCTGTTTAGTAGGCCTATGTTCCCATTAGCTACTTGTTGAATTACAGGCTATGTTGGAGTAGCTAGTCTTGTTGTTTAACACTTACCATCCGGATTGGCCCTGCAGCCCCTGCAGACCAAGGCGGGGCTGTGGTCCACTGTCTCAGAGGAAATGGTCAGCTTGGTAGCCGGGTCCCTCCTGGGTTTGGGCGGGGGCTGCTTGCGGGAGGTGGGGCTGCCTACCTCCTCCTCCCCACCTCCGTTACTGCCCCCGCCCACCGAGTGTAGGGACTGGGAGCGCACGGCGAAGCCCGGCCCGCAAGCGAGATAGGGGGGCTTAGGCATGCGCTGCGGGGGGGCTGGCATGGTCATGGAGCCCATGCGCAGGTGCTTCCCCTCGGTCACCACCTCTTCGCCCGTCCTGAGAGAGAGAGAGGGAGAAATGTTTATGTTATGATACATGACGAATGGCTGTACCATTGAGAGCATCTTGACTGGCTGAATCACTGCTTGGTATGGCAACTGCTCAGCATCCGACCGTAAGGCGCTACAGAGGGTAGTGCATACGGCCCAGTACATCACAGGGGCCAAGCTTCCTGCCATCCAGGACCTCTATACCAGGCGGTGTCTGAGGAAGGCCCTAACAATTGTCAAAGACTGCTCTCTCTGCTACCGCATGGCAAGTGGTACCAATGCACAAAGTCTGGAACCAACAGGACTCTGAACAGCTTCTACCCCCCAAGCCATAAGACTGCTAAATAGTTAGTCCCAGTAGCTATTTGTTAACTATTTAACTATCTGCACTAACTCTTTTGACTCATCACATACGCTGCTGGTACTGTTGATTATCTATCCTGTTTCCTGAGTCACTTTATCTACCTCCATTACCTCGTACCCCTGAACATGGACTCGGAAGGCACTGTATCTGTAACCTTTGAAATGTTTGAATCTTTTTAAAATTGAATATGATTTGTGGATTCAAATAAAGCATTTAAAGTGTGTTCTGTGTGTGTGCGCCTGTACTTTATATATACCAGTACTGTACTGGTACCCCGTGTATAAAGCCAAGTTATCGTTACTCATTGTGTATTTATTCCTGGTGTTATTATCTTTCTATTAGTTCTCTGTTTTTCTCTCTGTATTGTTGTGAAGGTCCGTCAGTAAGCATTTCACTGTTAGTCTACACCTGTTGTTTATGAAGCATGTGACAAATAAGGTGTGATTTGATTTGATCTGGAATTGGATGGTGTTGGTGTCATAAGATATGACAGTACGTAACAACACTATAAAGCTGAAATTGATTGCTTCTCAAATCCAAAAATAATTGATCTGCAATGATAAATAACAATCAGGATTATACATTTAAATATTTTTTTCCCCTTTTTCTCCCCAATTGGTAGTTACAGTCTTGTCCCATCAACGCAACTCCCGTACGGACTCGGGAGAGGCGAAGATCGAGAGCCAATGCGTCCTCTGAAACACGACCCTGCCAAGCCACACCGCTTCTTGACACACTGCTCGCTTAACCCGGAAGCCAGCCACACCAAAGTGTCAGAGGAAACACCCTACAACCGAAGTCAGCGTTCATGCGCCCGGCCCGCCACAAGGAGTCACTAGAGCGCGATGGGACAAGGACATCCCGGCCGGCTTGGACTGCTGTGCTACTAGGGAGGCTGAATAACAATCACGATTTGATGTTACATTCAAAAGAGTAATAAAAAAAAAAGCATAAGCTGGAGCTGCTGACTAACGGTGAATTAACTGTAAGCTATACAAATAAATAAGTGTGCGACTCTTTTATTTATTTGTATAACATTCAAAAGAGTAAACGGATGTAGTAAGTTACTGTGATAAAGATTGGAATCTTTAAAGATGGAATCCTCAGCATTGTTATTGTTTAGTTTGCCGAGCTGAGGAGCGTCGTGGTAATACAACAATCTGTACATATTGGGCTCTTCTGTCACACATGCGATGATGTTAGAGGGGGAAAACACTGTGTTTGTTGTTTGCAGTAGCTTCTTTGTTGTTTTAATCTCACAAACGGACATGGCTGTTTCACCTTTTACATTGCTCGATCTAATATTTATATATTTCTTAATTCCATTCTTTTACTTTTAGATTTGTGTGTGTATTGTTGTGATTTGTTTGATATTACTGCACTGTCGGAGCTAGAAACACAAGCATTTCGCTACACCCACAATAACATCTGCTAAATATGTGTATGTGACCAATAAAATTTGATTTGATTTGGTGAAGGTTTCCAGCTTTAAAGAGCTTAAGACAACTTAAAACATCACCGATATATCAGTAATATATCAGTAATATATCAGTAATAACTGATATATCAGTAATATATCAGTACTTCCCTCACCTCTGGAAGTCTGTCCTTTCACAAGACCTTGAACCAAAAATAGCACACAGCTGTGTGTGTGTGTGTGTGTGTGTGTGTGTGTGTGTGTGTGTGTGTGTGTGTGCGTGTGTGCGTGTGTGTGCGGGCGCGTGTTTCCGCTTGCACTAGTATCTTAGTGAGGGCTCAAATGATGCAAGCGACCAACAACGACAACCACATTGGTGCCACTCAGCCGAGATGAATCTCTCTGTGGGTAACCATTGATTTGTGTTTAACCCTGGGCACGGTTAGCTCAGAGCTCCCAGACCCAGGGACACAATGACACGATGGAAGTTCCCCACTCCAGCCACCATCAATCCCCCTTTAAACACATGGATGATTTGCCTGAATAGAGCGGTTGATGTGGCAGGATGGGGCTTTTGACAGTCACAAGACTGTACTGGCCAGAGAGTAGATATCTGACTCTTACTGTCAGATGGTGGGGACTTTAACTTCAATTCAAGTGCAGTTTTTTTTCTTTTTTTGATTATTTAAAGGTCATCAGCAAATGAACAGAAGATGTCACTGAGATAATTGGAAAGTTGAAATGCAGTTTGGAGATGACGAGGTCATTGGGCCTCAGTTAAATTTGTCTCTCTATGTCTCTGGGCCTTATATCATACATTTTTACATTTTAGTCATTTAGCAGACGCTCTTATCCAGAGCCACTTACAGTTAGATCAGATCAGAAAATGTGTTCATTAAGGTTTATGGTCAACACTTCCAATAGATAAACAAATAGCCTAGCCTAACAACTATTCGCTCTCCAACAACACAACTATGGTACTTTTTGCATTTGCACACACCCACTGACATAGTGGCCATTCAAACTACTGTGCATCATCCACACAGTGTTGAATATGTAATTCCTCCCTACTCATGCATCTTTTTCAGTTGGAGTTTTTACCATGTCAGTGGGACAGAGTTGAACCCCATGTAGTTCAACCCCTGATGGGTTAAATCCAAGAGTTGTGACATTTAAGTGACGTTGTGTGCGCACAAGTGCTTGGATGGGTGGGTGTGGGTTTGCGGGGGGGGGGGGGGGGGTGGGAGTTGCGGGGGTGTTTGTGACTTTGCTGACTCCCACTGACTCTGAGCTCTGAGCTGCAGGAGCTTGGGGGGTGGGTTATTGGTCAGGGGCTTAACTTTGCCTAGCAACAGGGTATCCACGGAAACCAGACACAAAACCAGCCGCCGGACCGCTCCACATAACAAACGCACACGTGCACACTCCAAACATACTCAGGAGACTACAACTTCCAAGTCTCAAACTCCCATCTGTAGTCGTTAACCTGCAGACATCCCTTGTGTATGACCATATCACGGCTACCCTCCTCCAGCTAACGAGTTCTAGCTTTTGCACTTTAATTAATCAACTGTGCAGAAATGATCATAATAATAATTACATAACATTATCATTTCATTAGAATTAGAAAAACTTTGTCCATGGAATATGGAAATGTGGCTTTACATTAACAGGGTGGTACTTAATTCATATACTCTGTAGAAGTGATAACAATAATGCAATAATAATATTCACAGGTCATGATAATGAAGCTCTGCTTTCTAACACACAGCTGTCTGCAGGAAAGCACTCGTAAACACAAACACAGTACTGCGCGTGCATCAGGTGTTTAACTGGTGGAGTTCTATATAGGATATTTACCAGTGATTGGCTGGACCACAGACCACAGGTGGATGGAGGGTTGTCATTGGGCAGTTCTGGTTCTGTGTAAATAGGCTAATTGAGTCTCTATGGGACATGGAACGCACAACACGACACCAACCAATGACAGTACTGGGTTTGTGACAACAAACACAGTGATACGCACAGACTTTTTCCTCACAACAAACCTCACACACAAACCCAATTATTTTGTTTGTTGGTGTTGTATTGTGCGTTCACACAGAGACTCAAGTGTTGAGAACCAGAACTGCCTGGCGACAACACTGTGTGAGTGAATAACTACTCCTTCAGATACAAGGAAAACACCAATGGGATGGCAGTATAGGCAGGAAGAACCTCCTCACTCAAACCAACGTGGTGATCTGATTGGCCTGCGGCTGTTCCAGCTGTCACCAGGCAGAACACATCTCCTGCTAGCAAGCAATTCACACTTAATCTCTTTCTAAGAGGGATTTTTCTCTCCCCCTCCCGCTCCTCTCTTTCTGTCTCTCCCGTTCGCTCTCTCCCGTTCTCTCTCTATCTTCACCCCCCTCTCTCTCCCCCTCGCTCTCCTCTCTTTCTGTCTCTCCCGTTCGCTCTCTCCCGTTCTCTCTCTATCTTCACACCCCTCTTCTCCCCTCGCTCTCCTATTTTCTGGCTCTCCCGTTCGCTCTCCCCGTTTTCTCCTATCTTCATACCCCCCTCTCTCTCCCCCTCGCTCTCCTCTCTTTCTGTCTCTCCCGTTCGCTCTCTCCCGTTCTCTCATCTATCTTCCACCCCCTCTCTCCCCCCTCCTCTCCTCTCTTTCGCTCTCTCTCCGTTTCGATCTCTCCCCCCCTCTCTTCCCCCTCTCGTCTCTCTCTCTCTCTCATCCCGTATCTTCTCTCCCGTTCTTTTCTATCTTCAACCCCACACCGCTCTCTCATCTCCTCTCCCCCCCCCTCTCTCTCTCATCTCCCACCCTCTCTCTCTATCTTCACCCCCCTCTCTCCTCTCTCTCTCCCCCCTCTCTCTCTCTCTCTCTCCCTCCATCAGTTTCTGGAAAAATGGGTTGTCTCATTGACCTACTTATAGGCCTCATGAAAAATCCAGCTTTATTGTTTCATACTCTTCCTCTAGCTACTGTGTATTCATATTTTACTTTGACAACAGCTGAGAGATGCTTAGAGAGATATCGGGACGCTGGATACCACTTTCCTCAAGGCAGCAGCTCCCTTGGAATTGACACAGAGTTAGGATGACTTCAGACTCGCTACTGGAGTGCCAGGTAACCATGCGTTTGAGTAAAAAGTTCTACGAGTTTCTTCTACACTCCGTAAAAAGTTTCATCATGTGACTGAAGGACCTAGGATTTTGTGCTTGAAAACGTGGACTATTGCTTGCTCAAATAGAATTCGCTCATGGACGTATCCTCGTATAAACAGTGTTGCGCATATAAAGATAACTAGTACAGCTAATGAATAGAAAACGACACTGCTGACACCCTCTATAATATTAGGAGTCAACCGCAGTTGGAGTCAGCTTTACTATCAGAACAAGAGGGTGTCAGCAATGACCAAAAGCTTTAGGCTTTAAGACACATACTCGACACTCGACAACATTTGCAGAGCTCACCAGTGTGGTATACTACAAAGCAGGTTAGCCAGCTAAACATGCATAAATATTCTGAAATATATACACATATTATTATTATTATTTTTTAAATATATATATTTGAAATGGGCATGGTCTAACAACGAAAAACCAGTATCTAAGTTGAGCTTTCTTAATGAACCAGAAAATAAATTGTTATTTGTGGTTATTTATCAAAGTTAGTTGGCTAACTCATTGAACTGTTCCGCTTTGTAACATATTTCTAAGAAGATGTTGCAGAGACTTTTGCCACCATGTAGAAGAAGAATCTGTCGAGGAATCTTCTTCCACTGTTAGCATGTAGCATTAGAAAGCACACGCTCAACCAGACGCCATCAGCTATGATCTATCATGGGCTAACCAAACACTTGGCTCCACAGCGTCTACTTGTTCACACACAACCAAGGCACGCCATCTCCCCACGTGCTGCCCACGTTGTGTGCCCGCTTCCTATTCGCTCAGCTTTCAGACACCACGTGGTGTCGCTACACATCCATGACAACCAGTCTCCTCGGCCTCGCTTTTATCGGGACAGAGAGCGAAAGAGGACCCAAACATCAGCAAGACACTGCTGACTCCTAATGCTAATTCCAACAGGAGTGTTTGTAACCAATGTATCGGACGACTGAAATGACAGACTTTCAGTTAGTGAATATGTATGCCTGGTTTTAAGTTTTTGGATCACATATCTTCCACCATTAGCCAGCTAACACATAACATGACCTATAGTTCTGTTGATAGGTCCAACGTTAAAAACAACTATACATCAACCACACATTTAGTGCATTTATGTCCAATAGTAAACGTGGGCTCATCCATCAATTTTATGATCACAATCCCCCTAAATCTAGCCTGGTACCAGATCTGTTTGTGCTCCTGTGGCCTTTGTCATCTGTATGTGCAAGTCCTATGGTCCTATGGCTATACGGCACAAACAGATCTGAGACCAGGCTACCCTAACATTACTCTCCATAGCAGAAGTAGAGACCAGGCTACCCTAACATTACTCTCCATAGCAGAAGTAGAGACCAGGCTACCCTAACATTACTCTCCATAGCAGAAGTAGAGACCAGGCTACCCTAACATTACTCTCCATAGCAGAAGTAGAGACCAGGCTACCCTAACATTACTCTCCATAGCAGAAGTAGAGACCAGGCTACCCTAACATTACTCTCCATAGCAGAAGTGGAGCAGGCAGGGACAACCTCTAGCCAAGGACAAGTCCCAAATAAGTCAGGAAGTGACAAATTAACTCTACTCCGTAGAGAGGCCTGCCCGACCCACAGGCATCCCAAAATATGGCAATATGCCATAGCCAAAGAGAGAGACACACACACACACACACACACACACATACACTATGAACTCTTCACAGGAGGGACTGAGGATATGTTACACACACACACACACACAACCCATGCGCACGCACACACACACACACACACACACACACACACACACAAGAAACACATACATTACACACACTCTTTCCTCTCTGCAGTATGTATGACAACTCAACAGTTTGACCAATGCAGCAAGCCATCGCTTCCAATCAGAATGAAGGGAAATCCGAAGGCCTCCTTGAAAGATTGGACTGGGTGCCTTAAGGGAATGTTTGGGCCAGTTTCATTGTCTGTCCTGGAGGCTTGTAAGAGGTCCACGGCCACGATGGCAACAACTTAAACATGTGACTTCACAGGCATGCAATGTTTTAGTGGATCTACGTATAACTGGACAAGCATGCAGTGTGGGTGTGTGGGTGTGGGTGTGTGTGTGTGGGTGTGTGTTTTGGGGGGTGGGTTTTGGGGGGTGTGTGTGTGTGTGTTGAGGTGTGTGTGTGTGTGTGTGTGTGTGTGTTGAGGTGTGTGTGTGTGTGTGTGTGTGTGTGTGTGTGTGTGTGTTGAGGTGTGTGTGGGTGTGTATTATAAGGTGTATGACTGTCTCTGATGCTTTGTTACATGTAACGTTATTGTGAGAAGTCCTCACACGAGTATGACACAACATCGTACATCTATAGACAAGCATGACCAGTCTGTATGTGTGGATCATTTCTCAAAAGGCCTGAAAGGTCTGAGGTCTGAGGTCAAAAGGTCTGCGGCCCGGGTTTTAGGGAGGGGTCCTGTAGGTGTAGGAATGCATTTTAAGCCTCCTACCTTTTTATGGCTTCTTCCTGTTTTCTCTTCTTGTCCTTTTTCTCCTGTAGGTAAATCCTATTCCTCTCATTCCTGCCGTGGTCCAGGTTCTGAGAAACCAGCCCGCTGTAGACTCCTAGTCCATTATCTTCAACATCCAGGTTCTGAGAAACCAGCCCGCTGTAGGCTCCTAGTCCACTATCTTCAACATCCAGGTTCTGAGAGACCAGCCCGCTGTAGGCTCTTAGTCCACTATCTTCAACATCCAGGTTCTGAGAGACCAGCCCGCTGTAGGCTCTTAGTCCACTATCTTCAACATCCAGGTTCTGAGAGACCAGCCCGCTGTAGGCTCTTAGTCCACTATCTTCAACATCCAGGTTCTGAGAGACCAGCCCGCTGTAGGCTCTTAGTCCACTATCTTCAACATCCAGGTTCTGAGAGACCAGCCCGCTGTAGGCTCTTAGTCCACTATCTTCAACATCCAGGTTCTGAGAGACCAGCCCGCTGTAGGCTCTTAGTCCACTATCTTCAACATACTGGATAAATCTCAGAGTTTCCTCCTCTTTGGAGCTCATCATTCTTCACTAGCGATCCGGAAGCCTTCTGGAACACATAATAAAGAAGTGTTAATGACATGGTGGCTGGTGGCTGGTGTCTGGTGTCTGGTGTCTGGTGTCTGGTAGCTGGTGTCTGGCAGCTGGTGTCTGGTGTCTGGTGGCCTATTAGGTTTGTTGCTGGTAAAGGGTTGTTAGTATCGGTGGCAATAGTCGGTCAAAGTTTCATAATTATCCCCGGAGCATGGGAAATGTACAATGCAAACGCATAAACACACATACAACTCTGGAGGGGGCCACCATCTAGTCGGTTTTCTCCTTGCTGTTTTCTCACGCTCTGATAACTGACTTCCATTGATCAAGAATTTACTGATGAAAGAAGCAAACCGAATGACACATTAGCTTTAGGGCAACAACAGTACTGAGAAATCCTTTAACGTCGTGAACACAGAATATCAGGCATTGTGGTACTGATTGCGTTAATGTGCATTCCTGGACGTACACGTAGAACTGCTGCGATTCCTGATCAAATAATCTGGCTTGTGCTTTTATTTGATTCTCTAAAAGGTTATTCTTTATAGGATTCCACCCCAAACAGTTGTGCGTCACAGATGAGCTGCGTGAACGAGAACGCTCCATTGAAACAAAGACTCTTCTCTGACGTCAGTTCAACTGTCATCCCTTTTGATTTCTTTAATGCTCTCAAGGGAGGAGAATGGACGGTGAATATAGCACTGTTTAAACCCACATCCAAACACACCACTGAGCATCTAATGATGTGTTGTGTGATTCAATGTGTGTGTGTGTGTGTGTGTGTGTGTGCAGATGCAGAGTGTACACTACGCTGTTTGAGAGAGTGAATGTGTGTGTGTGTGTGTGTGTGTGTGTGTGTGTGTGTGTGTGTGTGTGTGTGTGTGTGTGTGTGTGTGTGTGTGTGTGTGTGTGTGTGTGTGTGCAACAGCACAGTGTAACCTGCCGGAGTGTGACGAAAGGGAAGACAGCGCATGCTCTTATATAGGTCAATGTTTTCAGATCAGTCTAAAACTCATGCTTGTTTACGGGGACTGTGTGTGTGTGTGAGTGTGTGTGTGTGAGTCAGAGAGGTAGGAGGGCAGCCAGATGGAGATTACATGGCCAACTCAGAGAGACCAGCATCCTCTGCATCACTATACCTCCACTGTCTGTCGGTTCTGTGTTACCATGAATAACCTCGATGTTGGGGTTAGTGGGTTTAACTGCATGTGGAGCCAGAGACTACTCGTTTTGAAGGGCACAGTTTTGGGGCAACGCAGGATTCAAACACTGCTGGAGCTGAATTAAGCCTGCCTCTTTAATCCCTGTAAGCCTGCAGCGCTGGAATCAGCTTGTTTATCACATTGTTTTTCAGTGAAACCTTTCAGCCCTGTTTCTCCTCCTCTGGTCTTACACGTATTTTCTTTCTTTCACCTATTTCTTGTTCTCCTCTCTTTCCTCTCTTCATATCAGCTAAATCTGTCGGAGAAGATCTCTCTCCCTTTCTCAATCTATTCTCATAAAACATTGTTTTGCAGCTTCTAAACTAACCCACATCCCCTCTTTCCCTCACTATCCCTCACTTTTTATGTTCCTGTCCTCTCCATCCTCTCCTCTCATTGGCTGCAACTGTTGGTCCTCCAAGGTGCAATTTTCTCAAAACAGAAATGACAGTGGCCACACTATGTTCGTATCTAGGCAACGGTGTCACGGGAGAAGGGGATATTCTCGAGCGGTGTCAAAAATGTCACTGACGGCTCACTCATCATACAGAAGATCAGGTAACAAACATAAATCCTATGAACTCAATGGCACTGTTAGGGAAAGGTGTGTGTGTATACGTGTATGTGTGCATGCCCACGTGTGTATGTGTGTGTGTTTGCATGTATGCATCGTGGTACTTACAGTGCAGCTGTGTCCCTGCTGGCTTGAGGAGGGCCAAAGCAGCGTTCTCCATGTGGGTCCAGTGCGAGCCGCAGAACAACTCCGACAGATCCCGGAGCATGTGTGCAGAAAGCCAATTAAATCCACAGGGAAGCCCAGTAGCCATTGTACGCTCCCAACAGTTAGGCTTGCTCAAAGGAGTCCTCCAGGGCCAGGGCGGTGCCAGGGGGTAGCGAGGCCTGTGGATGCCCAGGCCAGTGCTCCCTCCCCTGGGTAGCCAGAGAGACCCAAGGCCCCTGTCCAAACAATGCTAGACTCCAACCCAGGGGCCAGCTTCACACTCATCTGCACACACATAGACAGACCCTACCAGCATCACACACATAGACAGGCCCTACCAGCATCACCCACACATAGACAGACCCTACCAGCATCACACACTCCTTTTGACTTGCAGACACTTTTTGCAGACTGAACACAGACTCCGGCGGCTCCTGGTGGGTTTCTGTCTGAACCGATCCGATGAACTCTTGGCTGTCCGGGTGTGTGTGATCCACAGGTGAAGTTAGCATCCGTAGTTGAGAAGCAGAGCGGTGTGTCAGGGGGTGTTCAGTCGGAGCATCTCTCCACTGCCTCTCTCATCAACACAGAGCTCCACTCCACTAGCCTGAGCCTCAGCAGATGAGACCAGGCTTCAAGAGGCACGGATCACAAAGAACACGCCTACTCTACCTTCCTTCCTCCTCAGCAAATCTCCTGCCTTCTCTCTCCTCTCTCTCTGCGCGGGAGACTATCTCTCTCTCTCTCTCTCTCTCTATCTCGCTCTATCTCTCTCGCTCTCTCTCCTCTCTCTCTCTCTCTCTGCTCTCTCTCTCTCTCTCTCTTGCCTCTCTCTCTCCTCTCTCTGCCTCTCTCTCCTCTCTCTCTCTCTTCTCTCTCTCCTCTCTCTCTCCTCTGCTCTCTCTCTCTCTCTCTCTCTCTCCTCTCTCTGCTTCTCTCTCTCTCTCTCCTCTCTCTGCTCTCTCTCTCTCTGCTTCTCTCTCTCTCTCTCCTCCTCTCTCTCTCTTCTGTCTCTCTCTGCTCTCTCTCTCTCTCCCTCGTCTCTTGTCTCTCTCTCTTCTCTCTGGTCTCCTGCTCTTCCTCTCTCTGCTCTCTGTCTCTCTCTTCTGCCTCTGCCTCTCTGCTTCTCGCTCTCTTGCTCGCTGTCCCTCTCTCTGCTCCTCTCTGCCTTCTTCGTGTCTCTCTCTCCTCTCTGCTCAGCTGTTGTCTATCTTGTCGCTCCTTATAGCTCCTTACTCCGGTCTCTGTTTCTTCTTCAGCACACGGGGCTCTCTTACAGCCCTGGGTTGGTGGGTTGGAGTAGAGGGCGAGGGGGGTCGGGAGTGGGCACATTATGGGGGGTTGGGAGGGGCATCGGTGCCTCCACTACTGCCAGGGTATGACCTCAATAAACACCGCCTCCCTCTATCCCTCCCGCTCTCCCCCTCCCTCTCTCTCTCAGCTTGTAAACAAGACTGGGATACACACAAAAACACAGCACAATGAATTCACTGAGTTACATTTGCATGTATTCACAGATCTATACCAAACAACAACTCTGTACACACAAATGCAACAAACACAACAAATGCACACAGACAACATTTCAGAAAGCACAGAAGAAAAGAAACACATTTGCAAAACACACCGTCACCCCCATGCAACAATTTAAACACGCTCTGCACAAAAATGCAAAGCAGAAATCTATGTTAAGGCTGAAGCATCCCTGGGGCAACACAGATGAATGTACGCAGAACAGTTAGTTAGAGTTAGTGTTGTTGTGTGTTTGTTAGGGGACAGTAATGCTGTGTTTACAGTGTGACTATCTATTCCTTAAGGGAATACTATCTGGGTACGAGACGTGGGCGGGTACAGGGGGCTTGTACGGCTGGATTAACACTGTCGACACAAAGGGATTAGGGGAGCAGTGATCTGTTGTTTTCGTCAACCCTACCCTCTGACCCCTCGCCCCCTCCCCTCACTTTCCCAATCTCTCCCTCCTTCCCTCCCTCGGTCTCACACTCGGCTGCAGGAACAAGTCGGGACTGTGTTGGGACCAAAAATGAGTTGACAGAACCAGGCGGTGGTGGAATTTAGGTTGGATTAGCAGTGAATTAAGGACAGCAGAGAGCAGAGCAGGTAGGGAGCAGTAGAGAGCAGAGCAGGTAGGGAGCAGTAGAGAGCAGAGCAGGTAGGGAGCAGTAGAGAGCAGAGCAGGTAGGGAGCAGTAGAGAGCAGAGCAGGTAGGGAGCAGTAGAGAGCAGAGCAGGTAGGGAGCAGTAGAGAGCAGAGCAGGTAGGGAGCAGTAGAGAGCAGAGCAGGTAGGGAGCAGTAGAGAGCAGAGCAGGTATGGGAGCAGTAGAGAGCAGAGCAGGTAGGGAGCAGTAGAGAGCAGAGCAGGTAGGGACAGCAGAGAGCAGAGCAGGTAGGGAGCAGTAGAGAGCAGAGCAGGTAGGGAGCAGTAGAGAGCAGAGCAGGTAGGGACAGCAGAGAGCAGAGCAGGTAGGGAGCAGTAGAGAGCAGAGCAGGTAGGGAGCAGTAGAGAGCAGAGCAGGTAGGGACAGCAGAGAGCAGAGCAGGTAGGGAGCAGTAGAGAGCAGAGCAGGTAGGGAGCAGTAGAGAGCAGAGCAGGTAGGGAGCAGTAGAGAGCAGAGCAGGTAGGGAGCAGTAGAGAGCAGAGCAGGTAGGGAGCAGTAGAGAGCAGAGCAGGTAGGGAGCAGTAGAGAGCAGAGCAGGTAGGGAGCAGTAGAGAGCAGAGCAGGTAGGGAGCAGTAGAGAGCAGAGCAGGTAGGGAGCAGTAGAGAGCAGAGCAGGTAGGGAGCAGTAGAGGAGAGGAGAGAATCAGGGGTACATGTGTTAAGATTGAGTTAGTTATACATTGCATGTTATAGATCTATACAGAACATTAGAAAGTAAGTCAGCAGTTGAGAGTTAGGTTCATTTTAGTACCCTTTTAGCACTACAAAAGGAGCCAAACTGTACTCCAGATTAAATAGGGACTAGCTTTTGTAGGTACAGAATGGTTCTGTACCCAAATGGAAAATGCCTATAAGTAGCTAAGAAAGCAGTCAAATTTGAGGGCCAAGTAC